GGGCCATCCTGGCCCGTGCCGCCCTCAGTGTCCCGCTTCTCCCCCAGTGCACCTTTTGACAAGACCGCCAACATTACCTTCTCCCTCAACGCCGACGATGAGAACGTGAGTGCTGCCCTGTCCCCTGGCGGCAGGGGCTGCGGGCACTGCCGCCTGCCCACTCACCCTCCTGCCCCTGCCCCTGCAGCCCAATGCCAACCTGCTGGAGATTTGCTACAAGGACCGGATCCAGCAGTTCGATGACGACGAGGAGGAGGAGGAGGAGGGCCAGGGCTCTGGGGAGTCTGACGGGGAGGACAGCGCCTGGCAGGGCCGCCAGCTGGCCAGGGGCGCCCGCCTGGGCCCGCCCGTGAGTGTGCGGTGAGTCGCTGCTGCCTCCTCTGCCAGGCTCTGGCTCGGGGGAGGGGCTGCACGGGGAGCAGTTCCCGTTGGCCCGAGTGCAGGAAGCTCTCGGGGGGCTGGGGCATGTGTGTTGGCTGGGGCCCTTTGAGTTCTGAGTGGTGGAAACCTGATTCTGCTGGGTGAGGCCCCTGCAGGAATAGGGTGGCAGCTGGTGTGTGTCGGGAGCACCAGGGGCCCTCAGGTGTGGCTTGATCCAGGTGCATCGTCCTCAGCCGGTTCGCTGTCATGCCCGTGTTTTCACAGAGGCCGCACACTGGCCCCGCGGCGTCTTTCCTCGTTTCAGTAGAATGCCGGTGGTCCCTTCCATGCAGCCCCATGTCTGTGAGCTGCGACTGGCTCTCGGTGCCAGGGTGAAGTGATCTTCCTGCGTGCCGGCTGGCCTGCCTGCCAGGGGCTGTGCCAACAAGGTTGCCATGCAGACAACCGGGTGCCTGCCACCGAGCCTCTGCCCCCGGGGTTTCTGATGGGAGGATCAGAGCGTCTTACCTTTTTTGTGGGCATGTGAGGAGCACACGGGCGAGTGGAGGTGTCCCGAGTGTGCAGCTGCATGCAGAGCGTCAGGCGGCCCTGGGCCCCCACCGGTGCTGCCCGGACCTCTTGCTCTGTGGGCGGGTTGTGGCTCCTGCGTGTGTAAGGCCCTGCCTGGGGTGGGTGTGCCCCTGTGGGACCAGCCCAGCCCAGGACCGCAGTTCACCGGGGACTTGCTGAGAGTGTGCAGTGGTAGCCCTCTTGTGCAGGTCTGATCGGTTCTGAGCGGCGGGACGGGTGCAGTTCTGCTCTCTTATGGGGGTTAGGGTTTGACCGCCCCGGGCCCAGCCCATTGACTGCCCTTAGACAGTGTGCTCAAGGCGGCTGCTGTCCTCTCGGTCCACCCACCTGGTGCCGCCTCACTGCTCTGTTGTGGGGTATTGGACACGGGGCAGTGCGGGGCCTACCGCTGGGTTCAGGCTGTGCTGGCTGTCCAGGGCCCGAGTGTGGGGTCTCCCAGGAGCGGAGGGCTCTCCTGTCATTGGGAGTGCTGTGGCGTCTTCACAGTGCATACTGCTTCTGTTGCACTCGCTCCTAAGTGTTTCGGTTTTGTTTTTCTTTTCTGTCTTTTTTTTTTTTAGATACAAATAGAAAATCTTTTTTTTTTTTTAAGATTTTATTTATTTTCAGAGAGGGAAGGGGGAGAGAAAGAGAGAGAGAAACATCAATGTGTGGTTGTTGGGGGCCGTGGCCTGCAACCCAGGCATGTGCCCTGACTGGGAATTGAACCTGCAATACTTTGGTTCGTAGCCTGCACTCAATCCACTGAGCTATGCCAGCCAGGGCTGTTTTTTCCATTTGACTCGAGTGGACTTGTCCACAGCTCTGGTATCCCGCACGCAGGTCTGTCATTGCGGTGTCCCTGCCACTTCCCCGGGCTGGGTGCTCTGCGGGTCACTGCCATGCCTCCTCGCTGTCCAGGGCGATGGTGAGCACGTGTCAGGGAGTGGCCCCAGCTTGTCCCTGGCCTCAGGGTGCTGGCTGTGGGCGAGTGGTTGGGAGCTGCCCTTCGGGGTTTGGGGCACTCCCCTTTGTCCCCCATGGGCCGAGTCTCGAGTTTATTCTCAACGCTGAGCAGATGAAGCCGTTCCCACCGTGGACAGAGGCGTGTGGCCAGCATCTGCTCAGCACCTCCTGTGGATGGATGCTGTGTCCACTAGGACTTTGTCCCCTGTCTCAAGTCGCATGTCGGTCAGCAATCCGAAGTGTTTTCGGAGCAGCTGCTCTCAGCCGAGGACACAGTGGTGACAAGAGTGTTCCCAGATCTGTCTTTGGGGAGGAGTGTTCCCGTCAGAGGCGGCTACTGCTGGGGTCTGGGGGTTGTGGGGGAGGGTAGGCGGGGCCATCCTGCCCGTGGCACTGGTGAAGGGCTGCTCGCCCCCTTCTGGGGTGGGACTCTCTGGCGTCCTGCCTGCCATCCTGGGCGCAGGGGGCCCTGGCCTGGCCTGTCCCCACCGCCCCCTCACCCCTTTTACCCTCTGTCGGCTTCTGCACTGGGGGTGGGGACAGGGCGCCTTCCCACTCGGTCCCTGCCGCAGCACAGTGGTTGATGGCTGGTTCTGGGGGCAGGAGTGGAGGCAGCACAGACAGTGAGGAGGAGGAGGAAGAGGAGGAGGAGGACGACGAGGAAGAAGACGAGGATGGCGGGGTGGCCAGAGATGAGGCCACACCCTCTCACCCCAGCCCGAACCCCCAGCCTCCCGGTGGGTGAACGTGCAGGGTGGGCGTGGTTGGGCCCAGGCCAGTGTCTGCCTGCCAGGCTCACCACTGCCCTGCCCTTGCCCCAGGCCCCAGCTGGACAGCCACCTTTGACCCAGTGCCTACAGATGCCCTGACCAGCCCCCAGGACTCCCGGGAGAAAGAGCCGTGCTCTGGGCCCCTTGCCCTGCAGGGACCCCTCGGCATCCCTGCCCCAAGCCCAGCTGGCCCTGTGGCCCCCAGTCCCCTGCAGCTCAGGTGAGGCTGGGAGACGCTGCTGGGGTGCAGCCCCAGATCCTGGTACCCTGAGGCTCCAGGGCCAACCCCAGCTGCCTCCACGGGCTGCTTCTGCTTCTCTCGCCTCCCAGGTCCCAGGACCCTGCACCCGCCTCTGCACCTCAGGAAGCCTCCAACGGCAGCAAAGTCGCAGAGCCCTCAGGTGAGCCACCGCCCACGCCACCCTTCACCCCACATCCCCTGCCCGCCGTGCTCTGGGCTGGCGGGGGTGTGAAGTCTCATGTCGCCTGGTCTGTCTTCCGCACAGCCCCCTGTCAGGCCTTGGTCAGCGTCAGGGACCTCCCGGCCACCCTCAGAGGGACAAGCTCTGCCCCCAGCTCCTTGGACAGGTGACCGGCTAGGGAGCAGCTTCTGGGGGTGGGGGGGGGTGCTGTGAGGGAGGTGACAGGAGCCTGGCCCTGGGGCTGCCCTGCCCCGGAGTCACCCCAGGTGGCCCTTGGAGGACGCCTGTGCCTGTGCCCCCTGGGGTTTCACCTGGCCCTGAGCCCACGGCCGCCTGTCCCGTCCTGTGGGCGCCTGTGGGCAGGAGGGAGGCGTCCGGGGGAGCCAGCAGTGGACAGGGAGGGTGCAGAGCCCAGACCCCAGATGGCCTGGAGCTCCTGCCTGGGTCAGCTCCCGGGGTCGGCTCCCGGGGTTGGCTCCTGGGGTCAGTGAGGGCTCAGCGCCTTCTTCCTTCCTACACGTCGGCTCTGGGCGACGGTGTCCGGCGGGGCATTGGTGACAGCCCTGCTGGTTCCCCCACAGTGCAACCAGAGACCCTGCTACCTCTGTCCCAGCCCCTGGGCACCCCCAGCCGTTCCAGACCACGGAAGGGGAGAAGAGCCCCAAACCCTCGGGGCTCCCTGAAAGCCAGAGGTGAGCACGGGTGGCCCTGAGGCTGGGGCGGGGGTCATCCCGTGGGGCGGCCCTGGCCTGTCACGTCCCTCTCTCCCAACAGTGCCCAGGCCCTCCAGCCGCCTCCTGTGCCCAGCGGCTCTGCCCAGGGAGGGCCGGTGTCCCCAGGCTCCTAGTGAGTAGCAGGGGCCGGGGGTTGGAGTGGCTGATGGGCTGGCAGGCCCCTCACTCCTGTCTCCCTCTCGGTTCCCAGATAACTGCCTGGTTCCGGTGGTGGCGGCCAAATCCTCGTCCTGTGCGTGGACCCTGCCCAGGCGGGGTCAGGGTGGGTCCCACGTGGCCTGTTGCCCCATCACCCCATCCCATCTCCACCCCCACCCACGTTCTCTCCTCTGCACTCCCAGGAGGCTGATGCTGGAGAGATGGGCCCTACCCACCCCTATTTGCACTGAGAAAAGAAATGATGGAGTTTTGTCTCCTAGAATAAAGATACAGAGTTGAGTAGAGCGAAAGGAGAGAGAGAGAGAAACCTATATTATATATTATATATGTGTTGAGGGAGGAGGGGGTGGGAGGAGAGCCAGAGGAGAGCCAGGCCTGGGTAGGGCGGGGGTGGGGCTCTCACCCGGGCCCAGCGGGGCTGCGCTGGGGTTCCTGGGCGCTGTCCACTCCCTCTAGGTGCAGATGCCACACCCACACTCCACATGTGGCCTTTCAGCTCAGGTCTGAGAGGGGGGCTGTGCCTTTGTCCCGACCCATGCCCCAGACCCTGCACTTTCCCTGGGCTGGGGCCCAGAGGACCCTGCGCCTGGCCCAGCGGCTCTGGGGGCCGGGGTCCCAATCCAGGGGGCCCCTCCGGTGACATTCCCACAAGGCCCTGACATACTCCAGAGACCCCTGCGCTTCCCACAGACCCTGGAGCCAGGGGTGTGGCGGGGGTCCGGCTGGGGTCCCCCTCCAGTGCCTGAGGGTCTGGGCTCCAGCCCAGCTGCCAAGTGACCTTGCCCCAGCCCCTCTCAGGCTGGCGTGCGTGTGCGTGTGTCTGTGCCGAGCTTCTGTTCCATGTTGCAAACACAAATAAACAGAGGAAGACAGTGTGAGACTCCTGCTGCTCAGCACTTGGGTTCTGGGGTAGGGATGAGGTGGCCTGGTCTCGGGAGCCATCTTCCGGGGTCCGCTCGATTCCCCCAGTCTCATGGGTTCACCGCTCGGCCCTCAGCCGCCCTAGCCACAGAGGGACCTTGTAGGAGTCACACCCCCTGAGCCCTGTATCCCCTGGTGGAGCAGTGGGTGTTTGGCGGTGGCCATGGAAGCCAGGTGGGGCGCCCAGCAGACCTATGCCCCCCAGGGGAGGTTGAAGGGCGGGCCAGGTCCAGCCTATGTGGGGAGCCCCTGGTCTGCCTGTCTGTGGCTGGGGGTCCTGATGAGTCATCACTGGGGTTTGTTTGATCAGGAATTGTTTGTGGTGGGGGCCACGGGGCAGGAGGGACCCCAGGTCCCTCTGTCTCACCCTGTCCCTCCCTCTGGCGGGGGTCTTCCACTGGCAGGGAGATGGGATGGCAGTGCCCTGTTCCCCGGGTGAAGGGGGGCTGTGACTACCTGGGCACGGGACTAAAGGGTCACGAAGCCGGGTCCCCGGGGGTGGGACAGGCTGCGGCGGGGAGGGACCTCTGCCCCCTGGTGGGCACCTTATCTGCCGGTGCCAGGCAGGGCCATCCCCGGGTGGGGGCAGCATCTCCCTGGGCTGTTATCAGCCCAGAGTCCACAGGACGCTCCTCGGGTTAACGTGTAACCACACGCCGTCCCCTCCACCCCCAAAGCCATCCCTGCCCTCACACGGGCCACTCCGGGGGGAGACACAGGCTGACATGGACGCCCAGAAAGAGGGGCTACCCCGAAACGCTCGCTTCTCAGCCCAAGTGAGAGCCCCTGAGTGTGGGAGGGGGGTGGATGTCCTGGGGTCCCTGGTTGGAGTCGGGTAGAAGCCCCTAGACCTGACTCGGCCAGGCCAGTTGGGGTCTGACCTCCAAGGGCAGTGGACTGACTGGGACCCCAAGGTCAGGCAGCTTCTGAACCCTCCCCCCAGGGATCTTGAGGGCTGGCCTGAGCTCCAGGGTCTCAGCGGCCCCCTTGTCCCCAAAGCAGCCACGCCTGGTCGGCCTGACCCCCTTCTTCCTCGCCTGTGCTGCCTACTTCCTCCTCTGGGTTCCGGACGACCCACCGTCCTGGGTTGGCGCGCTGGTCAAGTGCCTGCCTGTGCTGTCCCTGGCCAGCTTCCTGTGGACGAGCCCCGGTGGGGACTGCAGCACTCACCGGCAGGCGGCCCTGCTCTTCTCCACCCTCGGGGACGTCTGTCTTGTTTGGCCCCAGGCCTTCCTCTACGGTGAGCCGACTGAGCCGGGTGCATTGGTCCAGCGTCCCTTTCGGACCCCCAAGCCAAGGGGTCCTGGGGGCAGGGGCCGGCAAGTCGCTGGCAGCGTCTGCTGTGAGGCAGGTGGCCTGCAGGGGGACGGGGGCATGGCCACGACTGACACACCCAGACCCCTGCCCCCAGGGCCTGCGGCCTGACCTGAGGAGGTGCGAGAGGCGGGTACAGCAGACGTGGAGTGTGGGATTCAGGTGGCGCCGTGTTCAGTAGAGCAGCCCTGCAGGGAAGGGGACACCTGGGTGGGGGTGCGGGAAGGACAGGACCTGCCAGTGCAAAGGCCCTGGGGTGGGTGGGAGTGTGCCCGGAGTGTGCACCCAAACACCAGGGTGCAGTGGCCAAGCAGGGAGCCAAGCAGGAGGCAGGGTTGGGACAGCTCTGAGCAGGGCGAGGGTGGACACCGAATGGCCCAGGGCAGGGGGAGGCGCGACCACCTAGGAGACCAGGCGGACAGTGGTGCAGGGCGGGCATGGACGCAGGCCTCGCCCTCAATGGGTACCCCCCAACCCCCGCTCCTGGCCCTCAGGTGTCCTCGCCTTCACCCAGGCCCAGCTGCTCTACACCTGGGTCTTCGGCCTCAGGCCCCTGCGGCCAGGCCTCCTGCCGCCCGTCCTCCTGGTCTCCCTCCCGTTCTCTGGCTTTCTCCTGTCGCACCTGCAGCCCGATATGGTCCTGCCCCTGATGGTCTACGGCCTGGCCCTGAGCACCATGCTGTGGCGTGGCCTGGCCAGGGGCGGCAGGGCCTGCTGGGGCGCCGTGCTCTTCGCCATCTCAGACTCGGTGCTGGCCTGGGACACCTTCATCCAGCCTCTGGCCCACGGCCACCTGGTGGTCATGGCCACATACTACGCTGCACAGCTCTTCATCACCCTGTCGGCCTTCCAGGGCCCCAGGCTCAAGACCAGTTGACTGAGGGCCCACACAGCCCCGCTGCAGAGTCCACCCACTCCCCTCCTGGAAGGACCTGGGCCTCCCAGCCAGACCCGGGTGGGGCAACACCCTTGGGGGCCGCAGCCAGCCTCCCAGCCTCCGCCTGCAGGGGCTTCTGCCCACCCGAACGCCTAACTGTGGGCAGAATTCCGAGTCCACCCACCGCCAAGTTCCGAACACCTTCCCCCAGTTTTGGTTCCAGGTTCCAGGCCCCTCAGCCAGACCCTCGCCGGGCCCTCCCCAGGCCCCTGCCTGCCTCTGTGACCGCAGGCCGCCTCCTGTGTCCGCTGGCCCCCTTCCCTCTGGCCCTGGTTATTCATGTGTTGTCTGAATAAAGGGGACGTGGAAATGACATCATCTTTATTTGGGGCAGGGGGAGGGGCGGGGGGGACTGTGGACCACCACGTCAGTGAAAGGGGTTTCTGTACTTTTTTTTTCTCCTCATAATGAAATTGGTGCAGGCAGTTCAGTCTTGTTGCTGCCACTCTCTGTAAACTCGCCCACCACCCGCCCGGGGCTTGTGGGGCGTGGACTCCCGGGCGCTAGGACGATGTTACAGACCTGAGACTGGGAGGAGGCTCTGGTCCGTGGGTTTGGTTCCTCTGGCTGCCATCACATGTCACCACCAACTGGGTGGCTGAAGACAGCCACAGTTTAGTCTCTCATAGTTCTGGAAGCCGGACATCCAAAGTCAAGGTGTCGGCCGGACCCTGGGCTCTGGGGAGGGTTTTTCCTGCCTCTTGAGCGTACAGCGGCCTAGCCATCCCCGGTGTCCCTGCAGTCTTGGCGTCCCTCCTCACGGCGGGTGTTCTCCCGCTTTCTGTGTGTGTCTCTTCTCCTGAGGACACGGGCCATTGGGTTTAGGGTGGACCCTAAATCCAGGATGATCTCATCTCAAGATGTCTCCAAAGGCCCTGTTTCTAAAAAAAAAATGTCACTGTCGGCTTAGGACTCGGACACCTGTTTCAGGGGACACAGTTCAACCCACTCCAGTCCCATACAGTATCAGAAAAAAGAGGTGCCCTGGCTAGCATAGCTCAGTGATTGAGCTTGGGCTGTGAACCAAAGCATCGCAGGTTCGATTCCCAGTCAGGGCACATGCCTGGGTTGCAGGCCATAACCCCCAGCAACTGCACATTGATGTTTCTCCCTCCCTTTCCTCTCTAAAAATAAAAAAAAATCAAATAAGTCACTTTAAAAAAAGAAATCTATTTGAAAAAAAAAGAAAAGGAGAGGTGAGGTTGGGGAGGTGAGGAGACTCAAAGATGGGGGAGCCTGCAGGAAGAGGTAGGCAGCAATGGGATGGAAATAGAGTAAGGAGGAAGAGAACCCAGACGTGGCCCTCATCCTGGCTGTGACCTTGGCAGCCCACTGACCCTCCCTGGGCCTTAGGGTCTGCATCTGAGGACATGAAGCAGTCAGAGCTGCTCTCCAGACCCCACCTGACTTTTATGATGTGCTTTAAGGGACTCTTATAGCAGAGGGGAGATTTTCCATCCATGATATGCTTTAGGGGACTTCTTTTTTTTAAGTATATTTTATTGATTATGCTATTACAGTTGTCCTAATTCCCCCCCCCCGTGGCCCCTGCCTCTACCCAGTTTCCCCCTTCCCTCCAGCAGTCTCCCCCTTAGTTCATGTCCATGGGTCATACATTTAAGTTCTTTGGCTTCTCCATTTCCTATATTGTTCTCAACGTCCCCGTATCTATTTTGTACCTACCAATTACGCTTCTTATTCCCTGTACCTTAGCAGAAAGGAGACTTTACATCCATAACATGCTTATAGGGACCCCCCTGAGCCGACCCCTGATTTTTAGTCCCCACTCTACCTTCAGGCCAGAGTCCCCTCTCAGCGCAGAGGAAAAGCCTTGGGCCTAATGAGTCACGAATGCAGTGACACAGCCGGAGGGAGGCAGGTGTTCTGGGTGGGGCACCCTGCTCTTCAAAATCTCAGATGTTGGCCTGGAAGCCTTCTCTCAGCCCCTGCCCCACGCGCACCTGGTGGCTGTGACCACCTGCTAGGCTACCCAGGCCTCACAGCCTTGTCCGTCATCAAGAGTGGGAGGCTCCTGACGGACTAAGTCCCACCCCAGCAGGAAGTGCTTGAGGAGCTGGGATTTTTTCACATACAGGTTACTTCTGAAGCCAGAGCCGAATCACTCACGGTGTGGGCGGGGTTGGATTCCTCCGAGGCCTGTGGGGGCGGGGCTCCGAGCCTCCCCACAGCCTCTGGTGGTCTTTGGCAGCCCTTGGCTTCACCAGGTCCTGTAGAGCAGCCGCCGCCTCCTGTCAGTCACGGCCCCTTAAAAACATGGGCCTGTGAAATGTGACTTGGCTATAAATGGGAATAAAGTTCTGTTCCAGGCTACAAAGGCACCAACTTTGAAAACCTTGCCACAAACGCCCTGGCCAGTGTGGCTCAGTGGGGTTGGAGCGTTGTCTCGCGCAATTGAAAGGTGACTGGTTTGATTCCCAGTCAGGACACGTGCCTGGGTTGCGGGTTCAGACCATGGTCTAGGCGCGTATGAGAAGGCAACCAACAGGCGTTTCATCTCTCCGTTCCTTCCCCTCTCTCTAAAATCAATAAGCATGTCCTCAGGTGAGGATAAAAAATAATAATACAAAAATAAAAACCTGCCCTGGCTGGTGTGGCTCAGTGGATTGAGCACCAGCCTGCAAACCAAAGGGTCACCAGTTCGATTCCTGGTCAGGGAACATGCCTGGGTTGCAGGCCAGGTCCCCAGTAGGAGGCGCTCAAAAGGCAATCACACATTGACATTTCTCTCCCTCCCTTCCCCTCTCTCTAAAAATAAATAAAATCTTTTAAAAAATAAAGACAAAAACCTTACTGTGAGTGAAAGATGCTGATTTCAAAAGACCTTTGTTGTAGGACTCTGTTTATAGGGGATGTCCAGGATAGGTGAGTCAGAAGACACGTGGAAGAGTGCTCGTCCAGGGCTGGGGGTGTGGGCAGGTGGCAGGGTTCAGGAGGTGGTGAGAGGTAAGATGCAGAGACTGGCTTCCGGGTGTGTGCCCCTCCCGTCCATAGTGAGGATGTAGTTAAGCATCATGATCGGGCTTAGAGGAAGTCCCCTTTTGTTACTCAGCGCTGGCTGGTGGGGCAGGCGGGTCTGCTCTTGGGTGGCCCAGGAGAAAAAATCCCCACGTCCTCCCTCCTGCCCAGTGAAGTCTATCCATATCAGGGTCTTCCAAAGACATCCTGGCTGAATGTTTTGCTGATGACATCAGGAGACAAGCAACCATGGTTTGGCCAAGGACCTCTGACTGTGGTGGCAGCTTTGGGAACCACGCTGGGGGTCCATGAGGCCCCCGGAAGCTCCCTTGCATTGGGTCCCTGAGTTCTGCTGCATTACTTGCTTGAGTCCATGACGGAAGGGAGCCAGGGTCCCTGTATCCTCATACCATGGGGGGGCAGCTCCGTTCTTCCCTGGGGTCCCCCAACCCTGGCTCCCCACCGCGTGGCTGGCACGGACACCCAGTGATTGGTGACATCCGAGAGTCTGGGCTTGGTTCACCAGCAGGCAGTCAGGGGAGATGGGAACAGATTGGAACTCGAGACCGGATCACAGATGGCGGACTCCCGTACTGTGACGAAGAGAATCACGTTCAGACTCAGTGTTGTGTCCTGAGCCACTCTCGGGGCCCAGGTGTCACCATGGCAGAGAGCACTAGACTGGTCTCTACCCTCCAACGAAAGGCCTTGTGCAATATTCTGAGGATTGTGGTGAGGTGTTCGCTTAGGTAAGCTCACTCGGCAGGGAGTGGTCAAGGACCTGGGGTCAGCTAAAATTGGAAGAGGCCGTAGCCCTTGGCTGATGATGGAGGAAGAACTTGCCGGAATGGCACGTGCAAAGATCCTGGTGTTTGAACCGCCAGGGGTGCGTACAAAAGAGATAAACTTCTCTGTGTGGCTACAGGAAGGCCGGGACGCTGGCTGGTACCTGTGTTGTGCGTTCACACACCTGTGGGGAAGCACTGCCCTGACCCCGTGTTTTTCTCTGCGCAGAGGACAGTCCAGAGGCCGTGAGCCAGGCAGAGGGACGGGGCGGGGATGGGAAATCTCCCTGGAGCCTCCACTTCCTCCTCCGCCCTGACCTGTGGCCTCTCAGTCCTTGTCACCTGGGAAAGGGGAAATGCTGGCATTTAAAGTCCAGCAGGTGGAAGGGCCGGGACAGGAACGCCTGGGTCCCTCAGAGCGTCTGCAGGCATGACGGGGTCCGGTGGGGGCCTCGGGGCCTGGGGGAGCCTGCTGCTGCTGCTGGTGAGTGTTCCCAGCTGGCTGCCTGGGGTGTCAGGCAGGACAGGAGGGGCCACGGCTAGGTCTGCGTCTGAGGGATGGAGGGGGTGCGAGCCCCTGAACTAAGATCCTGAGGGAGTCAGGGCGGCCACTTCCTGGGAGAAGTAAGCAGGCGTCTCGGTTGGGGAGACTGTTGGGGAGTCCTGTCCCTGGGCTCTTAGACATGGGTGTCTGGGTTGAGGATAAATTCTTGTTACTGAGACCCAGCAGCCCTGGGCCCCAGCCCCTCCTCCCTCAGACTCTGTGGTCCAGGCCTTTCGCCTCCTCTGTCAGACCGAGTGGCCTCCAGTCCCTAGCCTCAGTCTCTTCCCCGTTCCCAGATTACTTTTATTTTACATGTTACGATTATTTTTTTAACCAGGCACATGTCACTTACTTTTCTGCTTCTAGTCTTCCCAGACCATACTTTTTGGGAAGTGAAACCATTCAGTTTATCTCCCGGCTTAATCCTGTGGAGCCACCCCCCTGGGGTCCCTGAAATCCCGTGCCTGCCACGGACACACCCAGAGAAGACAGCAGGCTGTGGGGCTGACCTTTGTCAGAGCTCGGCCGGGGGGAGGAGACACCTGCAGCAGGGGCTGGGTGGGGCCGTGGCTGGGAGGCCGCCCCGCCCAGCCCCACAGTCTCACCTGGGCCAGGGGATGGGGCCCGGGCTCTGACTCTTACCTCTGGGCTCTCCCCAGGGCCTGTGCAGCTGGTCAGGGGCCCAGGCAGCTGGTGAGTGACCCCTGCTGAGTCCCGCATGGTCCTCCTGGGGTTCTCTGTGGAAGGGGGCAAAGATCCAGCCAGGGGCTGATGGGAGCTGGGTGCAGAGTGGGGGCTGCCCTGCTGATGTGGACTCTCTTTCCCACTTCTCAGACCCCAACCATGTCAGGAACCTGACAGTGGAGGGTCAGACCACCAGCTCCATCAGCCTGCGCTGGGAGGTCCCCGATGGACCAAACCCTCAGAACTATACCTACTGGGTGCAGTGGCCTGGAGATGGTGACAAAAATGAGACCCGAAACACGACAGACACCAGTTACACAGTGGAGGGACTTCAAGCGGCATCCTCGTATGAGTTTTCCGTGTGGGCGGAGAAGAATGGAGTCTCCAGCTCTCCAGTGACCCTCCTGGCATCCACAGGTCAGAAGCTCACAGTTTTGTTCCTCAGGGGTGGTAGGGGGTGGCTGAGATTTTTCCGGGGGAGGTGTCAGCAAAGGGTGGCCAGCGTGTCCTCAGGCATCATTGGCCCAGACAGGGACCTTGCAGGCCAGAACACTACGGGGTCTCTGCTTAGCAACCAGGGCTGTGGAGGGGGCTGGCCTGGGAACTGAAGGGTTTAGAAATGTCCACTGAGTGCCCCCTCTCAGTCACTCCCCACTGAAATGGATCCTTTTTCCTAACTTCACAGCCCCCAACCAAGTCAGGAACCTGACAGTGGAGGGTCAGACCACCAGCTCCATCAGCCTGCACTGGGAGGCACCCGATGGACCTGCCCTGAATTACACCTACTGGGTCCAGTGGACTGGAGAGGGGGACAAAAATGGAACCCAAAACACAGCAGACACCAGTTTCACAGCAAAGGGATTGGACCCCGAGTCCTCATACCGATTTTCCGTGTGGGTGGAGGCAGGTAGACTCAACAGCTCCCAGGAGACCATCAATGCTACCACAGGTGAGAAGCAGCCCTTGTTTAAGATTTTTTTTGTTTTTTTGTTTGTTTTCTAAAGGGAAATGGCTAGAAGTACTTGAGAACCCACCTGAGAATACAGCAGGTTCTGTAGACAGACATAGAATGGAAGCCACACGTGTAGATTCAAGTCTCTTCTTTCTTTCTTTCTTTCTTTCTTTCTTTCTTTCTTTCTTTCTTTCTTTCTTTCTTTCTTTCTTTCTTTCTTTCTTTCTTTCTTTCTTTCTCTCTTTCTTTCTCTCCCTCTCTCTCTCTCTCTCTCTCTCCCTCTCTCTCTTTCTTTCTCCTTTTTTCACAGAAGATTTTATTTATTTCTTAGAGGGAGGGTAAGGGAAGGGGAAAGAGAAGGAGAGAAACATCAATGTGCAAGAAATATTGATCAGCTGCCTCTCCCATGCCCTCAACCCAGGACCTGGCCTGCACCCAGGCATGTGCCCTGGGACACAGTAGGACCAGTGGCCATGCAGTTTGCGTGCCGGGGCTCAACACACGGAGCCACACCAGCCAGGGCTAGACTCAAGTTTTCTGTTGGCCCCACTGAGATGAGTAAAAGCGTACAGGTGAAATTCATTATAAGACATCACTCCTTTAGCCTGGTAGACCTGAAGTGTCATCACTCTGCCCTGGCTGGCATGGATTAGTTGGTTGGAATGTGATCCTGTAAACCAAACAGCTGCAGATTCAATTTAGGTCAGAGCACATTCCTGGGTTGGTGGTTTGGTCCCTGGTCAGGACACATATGGGAGGCAACCAATGGATGTTCCTCCCTCACATCAATGTTTCGCTCCCTCTATCTCTTCTTCCCTTTTCTGCTCTAAAATCAATAAACATCCCTGGCTGGTGTGGCTCAGTGGATTGAGCGCGGGCCTGCGAACCAAAGGATCGCAGTTCGGTTCCCAGTCAGGGCACATGCCTGGGTTGCAGGGCCAGGTTCCCCCCAGCAGGGGGCACACAGGAGGCAACCACACATTGATATTTTTCTCCCTCTCTCCTTCCCTCCCCCTCTAAAGGTAAATAAATAAAATCTTTAAAATCAATAAGCATGTCCTGGGGCGAGGATGAAAAAAAATAAGAATAAAGAAATAAATGAAAGGAACAAAACCAGTCTGTCCAACTATGTCTGTGTGGTTTGACAAAATGTGATCATGCTGAGGTGGAGTCACTGTCAGAGCACCAATGACATGTCTCAGGCATCATTTCACACCTATTCCTCGAACTCTGTGTGCATTTTACAAGCCGCCCTCCAGGGCTCAGTGTCACCGGGGAGCCACATCTGCCGTGCTGGACTCTCGGGTCCAGCCCCTCTTCCACATTGTCTGAGTGTCCTGGGGAAGGAAGGTCTGGAGATGTGGGAACCAGGGACCTCAGCTGATTGCCCCTCCCATCCCGATCCTCAGCCCCCAACCCTGTCAGGGACCTGACAGTGGTGGCTCAAAACAACAGCTCCATCAGCCTGCGCTGGGAGGCGCCCGATGGACCAAATCCTCAGAACTACAGATATCGGGTGCAGTGGCCTGGAGACGGTGACAAAAATGAGACCCGAAACACAACAGACACCAGTCACACAGTGGAGGGACTTCAAGCGGCATCCTCGTATGAGTTTTCCGTGTGGGCGGAGAAGAATGGAGTCTCTAGCTCTCCAGTGACCCTCCTGGCATCCACAGGTCAGAAGCTCACAGTTTTGTTCCTCAGGGGTGGTAGGGGGTGGCTGAGATTTTTCCGGGGGAGGTGTCAGTGAACGGTGGCCAGCGTGTCCTCAGGCATCATTGGGCCAGACAGGGACCTTGCAGGTCAGAACACTACGGGGTCTCTGCTTAGCAACCAGGGCTGTGGAGGGGGCTGGCCTGGGAACTGAAGGGTTTAGAAATGCCCACTGAGTGCCCCCTCTCAGTCACTCCCCACTGAAATGGATCCTTTTTCCTAACTTCGCAGCCCCCAACCAAGTCAGGAACCTGACAGTGGAGGGTCAGACCACCAGCTCCATCAGCCTGCACTGGGAGGCACCCGATGGACCAAACCCTCAGACCTACACCTACTGGGTGTCATGGATCCAGGAGAACAGGACTGGTGCTCTGAACCTTAGCACCACAAAGACCAGGTTCACGCTGAAGGACGTGGAGGCTGGGAGCCTGTTCACCTTCACCATCTGGGTGGAGAGGAATGGGGTCCACAGTGACATTGAGACTCTCACTGGGGCCACTGGTGAGACACAGTCTAGTTCTGGGGGCAGCAAGACTGGGACGGGTGAGGGGGGGTGATGGGGGGTGTTGGGGAGAGGAATTGCACTTGGTGACCCCTTTCCAGCCTACTCAAACCTTGAGCTTGTAGGTATGCTTCCCAAGGGGGGAACTGTCCTCAGCAACCAGGGTGTTCCCATGTGAAGGTCTGTCTTTGGGGACAAAGCTAGACAGTCATCCATACCTTGTCCTGGTACATTAGCCGAACCAACACAGCCCGCCTCCCAGCATGCACAGGGAAGGTCCCGAGTGTGAGAGGAGCCATGTGCCCCAGGGACAAGGTTCATGTTCATGGACGGAACCAGGAACCTTTAGGCTTTGGCCATTTGGGCCAAGAAGATGGAAGTGAACAGCTCGGTCTAGAATCTTGGTGTGTCTGGAAGTGACAAGGGACCCTGCCTCAGGCTGCCCGTGGAGAAAGGTGGCGGGTGGGACCCAAGGCTGCAGACCCAGGACAGGGAGGACCCCGGCACCCTGTACCCTCCTCATTCCTGTGGTCCCCTATCCATAGGGAGTAGACTCATTCGATGACCGGGGCACCCCAGCTTTGCAGGGAAGGGCAGGGAAGCAGGCTCGGGTCTGAGGGTCCTCGAGGATCCAGCCCCTTGCATGTGTGTCTCTCTCTATTCTCAGCTCCCAGTGAGGTCACAGCTCTGCAGAAGGAAACTCAGACCAACAACTCCATCACCCTGCGGTGGGAGGCCCCCCCAGACCCCCGCTTCCACCTCTACATGTACGTGGTCCAGTGGGCTAGTGCGGGGCTTCCCCAGAGGGACCGAGATCCCCAAGGATATCGAGCCTACCAGACAGGCAGGACCAACGAGACTTCGTATGAGGTGCAGGGCCTGGAACCCGGGACTCTGTACAACTTCAGCGTGTGGGCAGAGAGAAGCGATGTAGCCAGTTCCGCACAGAGCCTTAGTGCGTCCACAGGTGAGATGGGGCTTCTTTCTTTTACCTGGTGAAGGGCTCAGGTTCAACATTGCATACAAGTGAGTGGACTACAATTTCCATCAGGCCATGGGGCCATGACTATCAGCTACAGTGATACAGAGGTTCAGAGGTCTCATGGGAGTTGTAGTTTTTAGTCCATTTAGGGAGGACAGAAAAGGAGGGATGAAGAAGTATTTTGGTTTGAGGAAGGAATGGATGGGCTTGTTGCAGAATTGGCATCGCTGGTGGCAAGGTGGGGGAGGGATAGAAAACCACCTTGGATGGCACATACCGACTGACTCCTCTTGTCCCCTCCACCCAGACCCGAACCCTGTCACCATCACCTCCTGCGTTGGCACCTCGGGGGGCTATGGGGTCCTCCTGACCTGGTCCTGCCCCCTGGGAGGCTTTGAGGCCTTTGAGCTGCAGGTGGGCGGGCAGCAGAGCTCCCAGGACAGATCCTCCTGCGAAAGGGGTGTGTCGGTGTTCGGTCTGCAGCCCGCCCAGTCCTACCCGGCCACCGTCACCACCGTCTGGGCTGGAATGCGGGCCCCACCTGCCGCCGTGACCTGCCACACCCAGAGTGCCGGTGAGCAGAGCCCCAGGGGACAAGCAGGGACAGTCTCTGTAGACTCCCCCACTCCCCACATCAGGGCCCTGTTGTGAGGGAGTCTTACCCACCCGTGGGGTCCTTTTTGTTTGCTTGTTTGTGTTTTGTGTTCTGCTCTCTCTCAAACAGTTTTATCGAGATATGAGTCCCATGACATACAATTTACTCATTTAAAGTACACATTCCAATGGCTTTTAGTGTATACGCGGTAGCGTGCAGCCATCATCAGTCTTGACTTTAGAATATGTTATTCACTTTACAAAGAAAAGGCATCTTCTCACCCTGGCTGAGTGGCTCAGTTGGTGGGTGCATTGTCCCATAAAACGTTATTTATTTATTTTTAGAGAGAGGAGAAAGGAGGGAGAAAGAAAAGAAGAGAAACATGAATGTGTGGTTGTCTCTTGAGCGCCCCCTACTGGGGACCTGGCCCACAACTCAGGCATGTGCCCTGACTGGGAATCGAATCAGTGACCCTTTTGGTTCACAGTCTGGTGCTGAAATGTAATTCTTTTACAAAAGACGAAAGAAAGAAAGAAAGAAAGAAAGAAAGAGAGAGAGAGAGAGAGAGAGAGAGAGAGAGAGAGAGAGAGAGAGAGGGAGAGAGAGAGAGGGAAGAAAAGAAAAGAAAAGAAAAGAGAAAAGAGAAATTGTAGCCGAGGGCAGCCATGACTGATGGAGGTGGGCCGTGTGCTTGAGTCTACCCTAAGACCAGGCATCTAAGGATAGATCCTGGAAGAAGCTGGGTACCACCAGCCTCTATGGGCCCCATTGCAAGGGACTCATGCTCCTAGCAAATGATATGTCTCAGATAATGAGCCTTAGTTCTGGAGAGACCCACCGATGATGTCCACCCTGGGGAGTGGGTTCCCAACCTGGGCACTACTGGTGTGGGAGTGGGATCCCTCTGTGGTGGGGGGCTGTCCTGTGCACTGTGGCACCAGCACCCCAGTTGTGACAAGCTAAAATGTCTCTGGACAGTACCCGACGTCACCAGCAAGGCAGAGTCGCCTTTGCTGAGAACAGGTGGTCTAAGTACAGCCGGGGTCTGTCATTGTAGCAGCCGGGTCACTGGAGAAAATGATGCATTTGGACCAGGCTCCTGGGGCAGTGAGAGATCGAGAGAAAGGTTTCTCCTTTCCCCTCTCTGCACCAGCATTGCCCCTGGGGGCCCTCTGATCGCAGTCGGTGGGGTAAGGACAGAGATAGGACAGAGTAGACATGGGGAGATAGGGACTGGGCCCTAACCACTCCCCACGCCTCCTGCCCCCAGGGGTCATTGCCGGGTCCATCGTTGGTGTCCTTCTGTTCCTCGTGCTGGTGTGCCTGCTGATTTTCTTCCTGAGGAAGAGGTGAGCCCTGGCTGGTGTGGCTCAGTGGACCCAGTGCCGGCCTGCAAACAAAGGGTGGTGGGTTCGATTCCCAATCAGGGCACATACTTGAGTTGTGGGCCAGGTCCCCAGTAGGGGGCATGTGAGAGGCAACCATGCATTGATGTTTCTCTCCCTCTCTTTCTCCCTCCCTCCCCCTCTCTAAAAATAAATGAATAATGTCTTTAAAAAGGAGGAGGTGGGACTCAGCCCAGGACTGACCTTCCACCTGGAGGTGGGGGCCAGGGGGGGTGCGGTGGGCACGGCCTCTGGTTCCAGCCTCACTCCCTGAGCCTTTCATCTCAACCCCCTTTTCCCCAGGCGTAGAAAGAGCCGGAAGGACTCAGCATCCAGGTGAGCAGCCATTTGGGGGGCATCCAAAAGCATCACTGTGGGGTCACATCAAGGGGTGTTTGCGGGTCACGGCATGGGTCAGAGGGCAGGATCAGTGACCGCCCCAGACACACCCATCTCCGAGGGCCTAAACTTCCTGCCCCGTAAGTTCTGGGGTATGCAAACCACCATAAAAACACCTTTTCTTTTATCCCAAGAGCATAAGATTAAAGGAGGTTAAAATCTTTGCCCCCCACACCCCAGCTTTCAAGAGGACATCCCGGCGGGTGCCTTTGCTGACCACGTCAAGAAAAACGAGAAGGACAGCAACTGTGGCTTTGCTGAGGAGTACCAGGTGGGGTGAGGAGAGAGGGGCAGAGGGGGACCAGGTCGGGTGAGTACGGACGGGCAGAGGAACCAGGCGAGGTGAGAACCAGGGTCCCTCTCAGGGGTGGACATTCTCAGGGGTGGCTGTGTTTTTGAGTCAGCGGAATCTCACAGCATGACAGGTGCATGGTTTTCTCCCCTGACACCCTCATCTCTAGCCTGCGCCTCTAGCCTCTGTACCACTCAGATCACCCCAAATGCCCCACAGGTGTGGCGGCATACACATTCCTTTTCTACGGGGGACCCGGATCTCTAGGGCACCAGGGGTAAATGGGGGGCTCTGAACAAAGTGAGGGGAACAGCTGGGCCGTCCTTCAGGGGAGGTGGCAGAATCCTGACATCCCTGCCCCCACCTCCAGCGTCTGGCCCTGGAGAGCCAAGGCCAGCCTCAGACGGTGGCCTCAGCTCCGGAGAACTGCGCCAAGAACCGCTACAGAAATGTGCTGCCCTGTGAGTCTTCAGCTTCTGCTGACTTTGTCCCCGGGTGGGACTTGGTCAGCACCTCACCCCTGGTCCGTCCCTTACCCCTGTGAGGCAGGGGCTCCTGCCCCAGGCCCAGTCTTCCTAGCGGAGGTCCTCGCCCCTCCCAGAGCTCCCAGTGTCTGCCTGCTCCCCAATGTGACTTCTGTCCCCCCCACCCCCGCTCGGCTCTGCAATGCCGGCCTCTTCCCCTAGATGACTGGTCCCGGGTGCCCCTGAAGTCCCTGCCGGGGGAGCCAGGCTCCGACTACATCAACGCCAGCTTCTTGCCGGTAGGTGGGGGCTGGGGCCTGGGAGGCTGCCGAGGGAGCCCAAGGCGGCCTCAGGGCATCAGGAAGTGACTGCTTCCCTCCATCAGGGTCTCTGGAGCCCCCAGGAGTTCATTGCCACCCAGGGTCCCTTACCCCAGACGGTGGGTGACTTCTGGCGCCTGGTGTGGGAGCAGAAAAGCCACACCCTGGTCATGCTCACCAACTGCGTGGAGTTCGGTCGGGTGAGAGGAACCTTTCTTCCGGGGTCCAGGGGACTGATCAACCCCTGAGCTCCATCCCCCAACCCCACCTGCAACACTGATCTCAATGTTGCCCTGACCCAACCCCATGAATTCCCTCCCAGAGGACCCCAACCTCCTGCATCACCCCCCGTCCATCCACTGTGCACCTGTGGGGTGAGGCTGACCCCAGCGACCCTGGCCGGGGTGGATCTGCACCAGCCCTCCCTAGGCCCTGACTACGAGGGCCAGTCCACAGAGATGCCTCGGAACAGGCGCCCTGGGCCTCCCGCTCGCTGACCCTGCGTCCTCCCCCAGGTGAAGTGCGAGCATTATTGGCCTCTCGATGCTGAGCCCTGCACCCATGGGCACCTGCAAGTGACCCTGGAGGGGGAGGAGGAGATGGAGAACTGGACAGTCCGAAAGCTGAAGCTGTGCCATGTATGTCCCCCCCACCCTGCCAGCTCCGTGGGACGTTATGGACAGTCCCCTCCCCAGGACACCCCAGGAAGCCTGATCTGCTGTCACTCCCCCAGGGGACCACAGTGGGCCCCAGGGATGCCCCTGCCTGTCAGAATCCAACCCCCTCATCCCCCGTTCTGAGAGCTCTCCCTCCCCCAACCCACCCTCCATCTAGACACAGGAGCAGAAGACTCTGTCCGTGAGACAATTCCACTACGTGGCCTGGCCAGATCACGGCGTCCCCCACACCCCAGACCCCTTGCTGGCCTTCTGGAAGATGCTCAGGCGGTGGCTGGACCAGAATCCCGGGGGAGGCCCCCCCATTGTGCACTGCAGGTGAGGACCTCCCAACCCTGTCCGTGTGAGAGAGAGACCCCACTAGGGACTCAGACAACGGGATTATCTGGGTCCAAGGGACCCTGGAGGGGAGGCAGAGGAGAGAAGGTGGGGGAGGCAGAGGTGACAGGGCAGCGAGGCAGAGTGAGGAGGAGGAGGAGGAAGAAGGAGGGGTGAAGGACGGAAGGGACAAACCACCACAGGCTTTGAGGAGCATTGGAAACCCCTCACTGGGCTCCTGTGCTGGCCTCAGCCCTCCATCGAGTTCCCGTTGATGATGACGCCCCCCAGGTAAGATTTCACTGAATGCCAGTTGGAGGAGGATGAGGGAGGGGCATGCTTCAGAGGGACAATCAGCCTTTGTAGGGGGGCTCTTAATCTCTCTTAACCGCCAAAAGGTGTCCTAACACCTGCCCTGGCCTGGGAGAGCGCCCTCTGGAGGTGCTGCAGCACACTGTGCTTCCCTTTCCCCCAATGCAGAAGAAGGGTCATGCCATAAAAAGGCATGACACAATGATTCATGTGATGGCGAGGTGAACCTCAGAGACAGTAGGCTGAGTAAAGGGACACAGACTCGGAAGGTCACAGTGGAAGATTCTGTTTACGTGAAGCACCCAGAACAGGGCGATCCACCAGAAAACAGGCTGCTGGTTGCCAGGAGCTGGAGGGAGAGGGAGTGGGGGGGAAGTGGTTAATGGACCTGGGGCCTCCTTTGGGGGAGATGAGTGTGTGGAGACTAAACAGAGGTCGTGATTGCACAACATGGCAAATGTCGTTAATGCCACACAATTGTTTCCATTAAAAAGGTGAATTTTAGGTTTAATTTTAAAAAAATGTTCAGACATTTTGAAATTTTATCTTTCAGCTACAGTTGACATTCAACATTTTTTAAAATATAGATTCAGGTACACAGCATGTTGATCTGATAATCTTGTACTTTACCAAGGGGTCCCCCTATGTTTCAAGTACCCACCATGCACCATACATAGTTATTACGATATTATTGACTATATTCCCCATGTTGTCTTTATATCCCTGGGGGGGAGTTATTTTCATTTAATTATCATTTTGGAAGTGCCTCTTCCCATGTGTGAACCTCAGCTCTGTCACTTACTAGCTGAGTGACCTGGGCCAGATGACTTCACCTGGCTCAGCCCCCAGTTCCCCACCTGTGACGTGGGCCTGGCGGGTGGAAAGAACGCCACACAGAGTCCTATGTCATTACTTTCCCCTTCGGTAGGTCCCCCCGAACTTATGTTGTGTTTCCCCAGAACTGTGTCTCACTCAAATACTACCTCAGTCTCTGCATGCTCCAAAAACTGATTCTTGCCATGTGTCTCAAAACCCCCTCCCACAGTCTGAACACTTCCTGTCCCTTCCTAGCGCTGGTGTGGGCCGCACGGGCACACTCATCGCCCTGGACGTCCTGCTGCGGCAGCTGGAGTGTGAGGGTGCTGTGGGGCCCTTCAGCTACGTGAGGAAGATGCGGGAAAGCCGGCCCCTGATGGTGCAGACCGAGGTGACTGGGGTCCTTGGTCACCTGAGGGGGTGGGTGGTGATAAGTGGTGGTGGGGTCCCTGGGGAGAGCAGGCCAAGGCTCTAAGGGCTCCCCTCACCTGCCCGTCCCTGTCCACCCTCCCCAGGCCCAGTACGTGTTCCTGCACCAGTGCATCCTGCGGTTCCTCCAGCAGTCGTCCCCAGCACCAGCCCAGAAGGGGGCCATCTATGAGAACTTGATGTTTAAGAATGAGGCAGCCCACTAGGGGAAGCTGAGCTGCAGGGCACTGCGACCCCAGCCCAGCTAGACTCAAGCTCTGGATGCAGGCTGCAGCCCCGATTCCTGGACCCCCGGGAGAGCAGAGGACTAGGCTCCCAGTCTCCTGGGCCGGGAGGAGGGCTGGCAGCCCTGGGGGAGAGAGGTCAGGTGGGAGCTGGGGTCCTGTTTCCTTGAAGGAGGGGAGGCATGGGGGCTAAGATGCCCTAGTTCTTAGAGGAGAGGCCAGTGGCTCGGCTGCAGGGTCTCATGGAAACAAGCTGGATTCTGAGAAAGGAAGGAATAAGGCTCTGGGATTCTGGCTGCCCAAGGAGCAAGTTAGACAGAAACCTCCCCATGTTTTACTCTAGAAACCAAATCTTCCAGGATCTCATGTCTCGCTGCACCTACTGCCTGTATACTTTTCCTCTATCCTGTAATTTATTAAATAACTATTTTCTGCAGAGATACTTGTGCCTTTGGATTTCTGGGTCTACAAATACTCTTGGGGTGGAGGTGGATGGCGGGGATGGGATGTTTAAATACTGAGGCAAAAGTCCTAGTGAGGTTGCACGGGCTGTTGTGGCTCAGTGGATTGAGCGCCGGCCTCCTGAACAAAGGGTTCTAGGTTCTATTCCTAATCAGGGCTCGCCTGGGTTGCAGGCCCGGTCGCCAGTAGAGGGCGTGTGAGAGGCGACCACACGTGGATGCTTCTCTGCCTGTTTCTCCCTTCCCCTCTAAAAACAAACAAACAATATATTTTAAAGAAAGTTCCAGGGAGGTAACTAGAGGAAACCACAGTTTTGCACCTGAAAAAACGGAGTGTTGGATAGTTGAGTAGGCTGGAGGTACAGAGTTCCGTGTCCACCGATATGCGGACTCAGTTCTTGGAGCTAGAAACATGAGGGCTTGTCTCCTGGGCCTGGTGATTGGGGAGGGTATAAGGTGGGGTGATATCTGGCCATAGTGTGCTGGAGACTTCCATGCTGAGTCTGGCGTCTGGATATTTGAATACAACTAAGAGTGTCTCCTGGATTCTAAGACTGGGTATCCTTGCCCCGGGTTCTTTGGGCGATATAGGAGGTCGAAAGAGGGTGAGCTGGACTAGAACGCACAAAATCCCTGGGAACCAGGATGAATATTCCTGTGGTTCCTGGCTGGGGGCGGGACGAGGGGCGGGACCGGGCTCTCCACTTACCAAGTATGGAACACGCACGCGCGGGCTCTCTCTCTCTCTCTCTCTCTCTCTCTCACACACACACACACACACACACCACAAACACGCGCGAGCGCGGCCATCTCCGCCCAGCTGTGCCCCCGCCCCACTGCGCTCCGCTATCAGCACCGAGGACAGCGCCACCGCCCGAGTCAGGTAGGGCCGACGCCCCCGAGCCTCTGGGAGAGGGTCCTGTGCATCCGCTGAATAGGTAAGAAGCTGCGGGGATCCCCTCCCTAAGCCCCATCCTCCTCCTCATCATAGACGGACAGGGTGTTTGGGGCATGGGGTAACTCTGGGAGGGACCAACAGAGGGCGTGGGAGGGCTGGAGCCTGAACCAGGAGACAGGTGTGGGGGACAAAGAGCCGGAGGGGACGGAGAAACAGGCAGGAGCCGGGCGGGGGAGAGAGCGAGTGACCCCAGGAGACTGAAACCAGACAATAGGCAGAGGGCAAAGGGAACAAAAGGGGGAGCAGCAACAGGCTTATGGGGGCACGGACAGGAGAAGTAGGGAGGGCAGAAGGAGGCAAGGGGGTCGCGGCGGTCACGAGGACAGGTGTGAAGACAGAGCTCGGGATGCGAGGTACAGACGAACGGCCGGGAGGATGTGGGTGCCCAGCAAAGGCCGCACGGTGCTCCCCGACCCCCACATTCCGGGCAAGAATGGGAGAGGAAAAGACTGAGTCGCCGCCCCCAGGGCCAGCTGTGGGGGCGGGGCCAGCTGTGGGCGCCTGGACTGAGGGGCAAGGCCACCCCTCCCACCCTCTCTGGTCCCGGGATCCGGGTCTGGGGTCCCACGCTCGACAGAGCACAGCCAGACCGCTCCACCGAGGCTTGGCTTGGGTACTTAAACTCAGCCAGTTGTCGTGGCAACAGGCCGTTGCCGGGGCAACCATCCTGGCTCTCATCCTGCTACAGCAGAGCATGGCAATGCTATGTGCACCCCAGTGCGCTCGTTCCCACGCTCACATTTGGCCACCTCCGATTCAGATCCTAGAGAGATGCAAGGATAGGATAAAAATGAGCGGCGTTCCAGCGGGGACCTCGGTGCATGGGAGTGTCCCTTTGTGATGGAACTAGATGTTCGAAAGCAGCCTCGGCGCGCTCCCTCCATCACGGGAAGGTTGAAACTACAACCCCCAATATGCCTCGCGGCGGTCAGCCGATTCCTTTGCAGCCGGTCGTCCAGGGGGCCGATGGGAATTAGAGTTCTTTGTTGTTGGGAGGACTCAATGGTTGCACGGGGTGAGCGTGGAGGACTAGGGGGCTTTGATACCTCCGCAGAAAGGACCCTAGGACCCCGCTGCCATGTTTCCGGAGCCCTCAATCCCCGGGCCTCCAACTCCCGACACGCCTCCGGACTCGAGTCGCCTCAACCACGGCCCCGGTGAGCCAGAGCAGGGGCTGGAGATGAGGGAAAAGGAAAGCCCGGTCAGGATTTTCAGGGCGAGATTCGGACGGGTGTACTCGACTGGCGGGCTGGAAAATCCGGGTGGGATCGTAGTCAGAGCCCTGGACTGGAATCTAAATGAAATGGAAAAAGAACAGGTGTGCAACAAAAACGGGAACCAAAGCATGGGACTGGGAATGGAATGGGATCTTGGAATGGCGAACTAGAGAGTCCACCTGTCCCTTCTTTTAAATAAATGGAAACAGTCCCAGGGAGGCGTTAAGGCTTCTAGGAGCATCAGGAGTTGAGCAGAAAAATTAGAATGGTGGTGGAAGTGTTAGGCAAAAAAGAAAAAACAAAACAAAACAAAAAAGATGTCAGGCTGGAATAGGGTATCAAGTCGCTTTATAGGTGAGATGAGTTGGAAGGAAAACATGGGAATAAAACGGAATGGAAATGGCTGGAGGGAAAATAAGGCTAGGATTACAGCTTCTGCATGCCACTGGGGCTGAAACAGCCAGTTTGCTTTTCAGGGCCTCAATGTGAGTTGTGTCCATGTCTTCTGCAGTGCCCCCCTGGGCCCTGGCCACGATCGTGCTGGTTTCAGTCCTCCTCGTCTTCAGCTGCTGTTTTTGTCTGTACCGGAAGCGTTGTCGGAGGCGGATGGGCAAGAAAAGCCAGGCCCAAGCGCAGGTCCACCTCCAGGAAGTGAAGGAGCTGGGCCAGAGTTACATTGACAAGGTGCGGCTTGGCCCATTTCCACCACCCTGCCCCTTCCTGCACCCTTGCTCCTCTCCGTGGCCCAATAGCCTCAGACCCTGCTCCAGGTTTTCCCTCCCATGCCCACCTTACTCGCCCATCTCCTCTGTGTGTCCAGTGCAAAACTGGATCCTGGGGACCTGGCGATGGACCGGACCTAATCACTGTTCACAAGAACCTTCCAGCTTAGTGGGGAAGTCAGAGACTCATACGTTCACAGTGCAAGGTGGTATGTGTCACATCAGAGGCCGTACTGGGTGTATGGCTGTGCAGAGGAAACACCTGGCAGTGTAGAAGGTCCCAGAAGGCTTCCCTGCAGAGGTGACTTCTGTGCTGAGTCCCAGGGGACACACAGAGCTACTGCAGAGCATAGAGGGCATTCTATCTCAAAGGAGGAGCATATGCTGAGGACTGAAATCCAGGTTCTCAGGTGTATGTAGGGAACAGTGAGTCATTTTCACAGTGGGTGGGGCATAGATTGTGCTCTGGAGCAAGGGAGCTGTAAGGCCTGGCAGGCCGAGTCCACATAATGAAGTAAATTGGGAGCCACGAAAGTTTGGAGAAGGACAGGGATGGGGTCAGATGGGTGTTAGGACAAACCCCCTGGGATCCCTGTGAAAGTCAGACCTGGGGCAAGGAGACCGGGGGGTGGTCACATAGCAGCCCTAAGAGGACGAAGGAACCGTGAGTTGGAAGAAGCCATTGGCATGGAAACTGAAAGCTACAGGTGCAAGGACCTGAATGAGCATTAGAACCCTGAAAACAATGTGATGATGCTCACCTGGGAGCCAGAGAGCCCTGGGTTTCCAACCAGCTGTGTGGCCTTGGGGAAATCACGGTCCCTCTCTGAATCTCAAGTTTGTGGTCCATAACTGTCCTTGCCCTCCTCCCTTCTCAACAAGTATCTGTTATAATTCTTACCCCCCAGGGATGCCCTTAGGGTGCTGGTAGCCAGTTTCTGCCCCTATCCCTTAACCCAGTGACTTCCAGAGCCCATTACATCACAATGACCCTCAGTACTTGTCGAAACGGAAATTCTGAATCTTGCACCAAACCTGCTCAGGCAGAATCTCTGAAGCGAAGGCATTTTGCGAAGCGAAGCGAAGGCAAGAGCGAAGACTCATCAGGGGAAATCTGACTCATGTTGAGTTTTGAAAATTGGTGGCTTAGGTGGAGGAGAAGTCTTCTGATTTTGCTGTTCTAGTTCAGAATGGCAAATACACAGTATACGTGCCAATTCGCCTCCATATTTTGCAACATCAAAACAATGCAGCAACCCCAATACATCCATTAGCATGTGGAATAAAATCTCCTGCCTCCTTCCTGAAGGCAGTGAGACACACTTACACTTGTTTTTCTAGGCTACCATCGATGCCTATTTTACCATTGTCTAACCCCCAACCATAGCAGACATCACTAATCAAACACTGGAAAACACTACACCATGTGTTGCTATGGTGATTCCCTGCCTGTGGCAGACATCACTAATCGAACACTGACTCTGCTTAGCCTGCAAGTGCTCAGGTATAACCTAGAGATGTGGGAGTTTCCCTTGGTTTCTGGGCCTGGAGGATAACACTCTCAGGGGAAGAGTTCACCTGCCCTTGTCCTGGCTCCCTAAGGTGCAACCGGAAGTTGAAGAGCTGGAGCCAACACTATCAGGGCCAGGGCAGCAGGTGGCAGAGAAGCATGAGCTAGGAAGACTGCAGTACTCGCTGGATTATGATTTCCAGACTGGCCAGGTGGGTGTGGAGGAGGGGGAGGCTTTGGAGGGGAAGGTCCCAGGAGAGTCCAAGGGAAGCTAAGACTAAGGGCCCCTCTTCACTGTACAGCTACTGGTGGGCGTCCTGCAAGCTGAGGGTTTGGCAGCCTTGGATCTGGGTGGCTCTTCAGACCCCTATGTGCGGGTTTACCTGCTGCCCGACAAGCGGAGGCGGCACGAGACCAAGGTGCATCGGCAGACACTGAACCCACACTTTGAGGAGACCTTTGCCTTCAAGGTGAGCGCCTGGCCTCAGGGCCCCGCACTGGGCAGCCTGCCCCCAGTGCCTGGGACACTGGGGGCCGACCCCTTCTGCTTTTGCTAGAGGCAGCCACAGCTCAGGGGGCAGCTCTCAGAACTGGAGACTATTCCACGGGTCCCGAGTTGTCCCTTTTGGCACTACTGACCCCTAGGCTGTCCCCTTGGTTCTGGATTGTCCCATGTGGGTTCCCTGGGGCCCTCGCTGCCACCCCGTGCCTTCCACCCTGATGTGCTGTGCCTCGCTTTCCTTTTGACTTTCTACTCTTCACCTGTGCTCTCTCTGCGCTCCCTCACTCAGGTGCCCTACGTGGAGCTGGGAGGCAGGGTACTGGTCATGGCGGTGTACGACTTCGACCGCTTCTCCCGCAACGATGCCATCGGGGAGGTCCGGATCCCCATGAGCTCAGTGGACCTGGGGAGACCAGTGCTGGCCTGGCGGGAGCTGCAGGCTGCTCCGCGGGAGGAGGTGAGCGCGCGTGGTCGCGTTCCTGCGGCGGGCCCTCCCACCGGAAGCCCGAGCCAATCAGATCACAGGCCTCCCGGACACCCCGCCTGGTCTTCAGCCCCTCCACCTGCTTCAGAGTAAAACCTCCGAGGACTCTCCTGGTGTTCACTTCGGACCTTTCCATTCCAAAACGAGTGGGGAGGAAAGAAAGGACGCGGAGGGGATGGATGTGCAGCAGGGGCTCGGGTAATAGTTCCCTCTTTGTCTTTTAGCTGGAGAAACTAGGGGACATCTGCTTCTCCCTCCGCTACGTCCCCACTGCTGGAAAACTCACCGTCATCGTCCTGGAGGCTAAAAACCTGAAGAAGATGGACGTAGGAGGGCTGTCAGGTGTGGAAAGCAGGGAAATGGTGGTGGCGGTGGTGCAGGGTGGTCCTCTGGCTAAGGCCGACCGTCTCTGGGCCCAGAGGGTCTCTTGGGGGAGTGGGAGGTCCAGGCTGCCAGAGGGTGTCTTGGGGAAGAGAGGCCCAGGCTGTCACGGGAGGTTGTAGATTCTATTTGAGCACAGAGAGGAGACCTGAAGGATGCACAGGGCATATCTGTATTGTTCCAAAGAAGTCTCATGCATCCCCCTCGATCCGACCCCCCTACGAAGCAGCGGGGGAGCTCTAAGGCTGCCCCTCTCTCTTCCCAGATCCGTATGTCAAGGTCCATCTGCTGCAGGGAGGCAAAAAGGTGCGGAAGAAGAAAACGACCATCAAGAAGAACACTCTGAATCCCTATTACAACGAAGCCTTCAGCTTCGAGGTGCCCTGTGACCAGGTTCAGGTGAGCTAGACCTGCCCTGAGCCCCTCCAGGACAGCCCCAGGCCCTTAAAAACCCCTTTGCTAGAGGAAAGGAGACTTTTCAGCAACATCCAGAAACCAGGGCCTGGGGTTATCAAGCTGTGTTTCCAATTTCCTTCTGGGAGGAGCAGGTTACCCCACCCCCTAGGCAAGACCAGGGTGCCCCGCCCCCTCAGGAGCCTTGGTTACTAAGAAAAAGAGACTTCTCCACACCCCTTGAGGGACAGGTAACCTCTACTCATTGAAGAGTCCTGGAGGTTTGTCCCCCTTAGGAGGCTGCTACCTAAGGAGGCTCCTAACAATCCCTTAGCGGTGGGATCCGAAGCATTTCTCGCCTGTGGAATCTGATCAGGGAGGAAGAAAGATTATGGAGCCCCTGTCTAACCACAGGGCTCTCCCTCTCTGGTTCTCAGTCCCTCCCGGCCCCAGGACCCTAAGAGGGCCCCTGGGACTTACAGAGGGAGGGACTGTTCTTAGCAATGCTACCTAAGTCCCTCCTGGTGCCACTGTACCCCACTCTCCTGTCTCCCCTTCTGCCCACTCCAGAAGGTCCAGGTGGAGCTGACCGTGCTGGACTATGACAAGCTTAGCAAGAACGAGGCCATCGGGAGGGTGGCTGTAGGGGCAGCGGCTGGCGGGGCTGGCCTCCGGCACTGGGCGGACATGCTGGCCAACCCTCGGCGGCCCATTGCCCAGTGGCACTCGCTGCGGCCCCCTGACCGAGTGAGGCCGCTGCCTGTGCCCTGATCCCATCCTAAAGCCCCTGACACCAGACTTCTGGCCAAAGCCCTGTCCAGACCCACCTTTACACATTCTCTGAGCACGAGCCCCCACCCTCACCCCTCCACCGCAACCACTGGACCCATTCCTGCCTCCTCAACCCATTATACCAATCATGATAATTTGCCAACTTCCCCACCACACATACCCAGAAGCCCCAGGGCCCCTGGGGGAGGGGAGCAGTTTGGCCTTCCCCCAACCCACCCATGGTCCCACCCTCTGCTTTGACAATCAGTAATCCCCTCAGTCTGTCCCCTTTGCCCTACACAGGATCACTATCCTCTCCCCAGTCTCATTCTAGCACTGCTCCTGGGGCCAAATAAATACTCAGCAACTTTGGTGGCTTGGCTGGGTTCTCCTTATTGGGGGAGGGGACAGGGGCAAGGACTGGAGCCCAAGAGGTAGCTTCACTTCCAGGGGTGTGATCACACAAGGGCAGGGGTGGTGCTGTCCATCTTCAAAATGTACTAAGGGAAACACCCTCCCATCCACTCACTCATCCATCCATTCACTTGTTCACTTATTCATTCCCTCACCCCTCTGAGTACTGTGAGGAATCAATGAAAATTTGCTTGCTTGTTTGGGAATTTGTCATGACTTGTCTAAGGTCATGGAGAGGAGAGGAGGCAGAGAGCCCAAGCTCCTTGGGTGCTGCACCCAGTGCTGGATGTGGGAGCTGACCTGACTTTGTGGAACTCACAGACAGGTTCTCACCTGGCCAAGGCCTCTCAAGGTCACTCAGCCAGCCAGTGACCAAACAACATGTAAACCCAGGCATGTCTGACACCAAAATCCACATTGCCAAGCATCCTGCTGTCTCAAATGTAAAGTAGCAGGCATCACAGGGTGGACCAGTGTGGCCATTCAGCTGGAAAGGCAGGAGCAGAACTCAGAGGCCAATCCCCAGTGGGAATTGAAAGGATCAGCTGGATTCTTCTAGGAGGGTATGGGGGAGGATGTTAAAAGCGAAGAATACAGTGCTGGAGCCAGGAGAGGACTTCAGCACTTCCTCTGTTGTGCTGTGACCGACTTTGTGTGGTTTGCCATTTCCGTGGTGTAAATTCTCCCATCGTGGCTGATTTCAAGCCTCCAGTGTGGAGTCATCAAATATGGAATTGAGAAGAGATACCCACTAGCATACCAACAAACAGTGTTTCCAAGGGTCAGGATGATGATCCTAAAATTTAAGGCAAAGCCAAAGAACCAACAAACAAATCCCCCCCAAAACACCCAATAATCAAGATGGCATATCTTGATGCCATAAAATATGCCATAAAATATGGCATATTTTAATGCCATATTTGAAAAAATTTAATGAAGTCTACAATGAACAAAATATTCAAAAATTTAAAGACAGGAAATGACCTTGCACTTGGACCACTGTGCCTCATCCTAATCCCAGCCCTGGTTTTAATAAAACTTTATCTGCCACAATAGCTTGTGGTCATAATTTACCAATTTAATTTTTTTAACTATTGTATTAAAATGGCATTTCCCTCATACAGGTACAGTCTTAAGACATAATAGTAAAATAATTGATGAGTTTTGAGTATTACCTTTAATACAATATATTTAATTGAAATTTAATTTTTAGTAATTTAGTAAAAGCATTAATTTTTATTAATGACTAAGTGTAATACCCAGGTCACAAAGTTCCTGAGAATTTACCAACGAGGGGCCAGTGCTGGCTGGAGGAAACACATAGCTGTTTCCTGCCAGGTGAGAAGACCTGTGTAGTAGAGGCAGGGTGTGAAGGGAGAAAGGAGACACAAACATCTATTGTTTAAAGTCTAGGCCACTTCACTTTAACTTGGATTGATCAAGATTCCGTTCAGGTTTTTCTCATTTTGAATCAGCTCAGGCTTCACCCATCCCAGAAATTTGGACGTCCCAGGGCTCCGCCCCAGCCTCTTCCAGCATCGTCGTCTTGACAACCGCGTCCTCACGCCTTCCTTTCTCCTAGGCCTGGGTATTCGTTCCTCAGCGTTCCCATTGGCCAAAAGTTTGAAGTGGGCGTGTTCCGCTCGTTCGCATTGGTGAATTGATAGTGTCGGTCCCGGCCTACATATTCCCATTGGCTGATTGATAAAAAGGGCGTGGTCTATGGATAGCAGTTGTGGGACGGGTGCGGGGCGAGTGCACCGCACCTAGGAGGAAAGGAGGGAAAGTCCCAGCATATTTGGAAGGATAAAGGTGAGAGGGTGTGTTACCTAGAGGAAGGGGGGGGGGGTAAAGTCAGGGACAATGCGAGGGGAATGGGTGGGCGACGCAGAGATGATATTTGGGAATTCCTTGGATGTCTGTCTCGCAGAGCGATGACTACACCAGCAGGCTCGGGCGCGGGCTTCGGCTCTGTGTCCTGGTGGGGCCTGTCTCCGGCGCTCGACCTGCAAGCTGAGAGTGAGTCCCCCACCCCAGGACCACATCTGTCACAGCGGCTACTGTCACAGCCTGACGGGTGGTGCGCTAACGTTTTCAGAGGCGCTAACGTTTTCCGAGGCTCCAACGGCGGGAGGGACCCCGTAAGTGGGCAGCTCAGGGTGCTTCTCTAAGAACTACGAGTCCCAGAATGCTTAGAGGCATAGCTCCCTGTGGAACCCAGGTCGGAGGTGCAAGTCTTGCTGGGAGTTGTAGTCCCTTGTTCTGGGGGCGGCAGCAGAGGGCGTTCTTCAGGCCACCAACCTCAGCCTGCTCTCGCCTTGTCAGGTCCTCCTATGGCCCCAGACTCGCAGGCCAATACAGAGCACGGGACCCCCGAGCTAGATGTGCTGCTGCTGGGTTCCGTGGATGGGCGCCATCTGCTACGAACCCTGGCCCAGGCAGCGCTCTGGTCTCCCAGGAAGTTCCATGTGAGCTGGGATTCTGGGATGTGGAAAAAGGAGGATCAAGATGAAAATCCAGATTCCTGAGCCCTTCAGGGAGGGGGATCTGGAGGCTTGAACCTCTAGGTCTGAGGGAGGTGGAAGCTGGGAGCTTCCACTTATGTGTCCTGATGAAGGAAGTGTCTGGGGTTGGGGGTTCCTGGATTGAAGAGGACAAAAATCTTATGGACGGTCCTGAGTAGCGTTGGGGAGGAGGCTTCCAAGAACCCAGTGTTTGAAGTGGGGGGGGGATTGGTGTACAGAACTCGTGGGTCCTGTCTCCCACTCCCAAGTCTCCTAGGAGCCAGAGACACAGATCTCAGAGTCATTCTGCCCTGACCATCCTTTCAGTTCTACGTGCTGGAGAATAATCTGGAAGCTGTGGCCCGGCACATACTGTTCTTCAGCCTAGCCCTGGAGGACCCTGAGAAGATGGGGCTGCAAGGTCAGCTGCAAGGACCAGGACATTCTGGCCCCCAGTCCCTTCCTCATCCCTGCAGGAACTTTGGTTTTTCACTGGTGCAATGGAAAGACTTTGGACATTGTTCCCTATTTTATCATTTGCTCACTCACTTGAGAGAATTCCAAGAAAAAATACACACAAAACTCTCAGAATAGTGCCAGCATTCAAAAACTGCTACAACAGGAGTCCAAAAGAGATCAGGGGACTTCCTGAGAGCCAGTGAGTCCCCAGATGTGTGTGTGTTGGGGGGTGGTCTGGCTGAGCTGAGCTCAGTCCTGCCCCAGGCCTCCCACAGTGAGAGGTGTGACTCCCAGGAAGCCAGCCTGGAGGAGGCAGCCTCAGAAATGAGACTGACAGGAGAAGTGGGAAAAGGAGGATGGGTGAGGTGGCAGAAAGTGATTATTTCCCAGTAACAATTTCTGCTTAGTATGTAGAACAAAGTCTGGACTCGGATAAGCTGCGTTCAAATTCTGGCTCTGCTTGCTGTGTGACATTGGGCCAGCATCTACCCCTTTCTGGGCCTCAGTTTCTGCATTTATAAAGTGGAGATCCTAAAAGCTTTTTGCTCCACAGAATATTGTGCTTTTCAAGGATTCAGTGAAAGGCAAAAATGCATAGCTCTCGGCTTCTGATAGTGTACATCTTAGTGATTGTTATCATTATTGTGGATGGTGTCTGTCATTAATAGCCCAGGACATTCATAATACGCTGCACACAATTTACAGTGCACTTTGTATACAAGTAGTCCTATCTGTGTCTATCTAACTAAAGGAATAGAGTTGTCTTATCTAAGGTCCGTAAACAAATAAGATGAAACCATTTATAGAAATATACTGATGTAGATATATGTGTATACAAGTAAAATATAGTTTTCTTTTATAAGAACCTTAACTAAAATAAAACAACTTATACTATAACATTTTAACACGAATATATCTTCATCTTTATCTATAACCTTTTCTTTCTTTTAAAAGATTTTTAAAATTGTTCAAGTACAGTGGTCTCCATTTAATTTTTTTTTTCTTGAAGGCAAGGGGAATGGAAACGTGAAATTCAGGATTGGGGTTACCTGGGAGGGGGGAAGAAATAAGCGAGGAGGCCTAGGTGAGATGTAAGTTATGCTTCACATTCTAGCTATTGAGGTGGGTGGAGAGTTTGTCCAGTCCATTGTGACTTATCATTATTATAATTAATGATAAGACTATAAAGAAAGTATGCGCCATATAGAATGCCTCATTCTATAAACAGGGTATGAAACACTGGTCTCATTTCTGGGCTCTCTCCTCTGCTTCCCCCCAATACTTCCCCCCCCCTCACAGAGAGGAGCGAGGTCTTCCTGGAAGTGTGGGGGAATGCGCTGCTGCGCCCCTCGGTGGCCGCCTTCGTGCGCGCCCAGGCCGAACGCCTCGCACGCTTGGTTCCAGAGCCCGACCGCTTGGCGGAGCAGCTGCCTTGGCTCAGCCTGGGAGCCCTGAAGGTGCCTCCGCCCGGCCTCTGTCCCTCACTGCCTGGGATCTGGGTGGCCACGGGAAGAATGAGGATGGGCGGTCCGAAAGGGTTTGCGCTGATGAAGAGGGCTGGGGGCGCAGATGTTCGAACCCCAACTCCCAGTTCCCACTGTGGGATTTGGCCTAGGAGGTGGCTTCTACGCTCTGAGCCTTATTTCTTCACCTGAGAGTCGGGAGAATCGTGCCCACACTCTGGGGTGGAAGGGAGGGTCCAGCAGGAAAGGCTGCTCTCCCTGCAGCCCACCTCCCTCGGTCTCTCCCCGCTCGTGCCTGGATGTGCAGTTCCGTGAGCGTGACGCCCTGGAAGCCGTGTTCCGCTTCTGGGCCGGCGGGGAGAAGGGGCCCGAGACCTTCCCCATGAGCCGCCTGTGGGACATGAGGCTGCGCCACTACCTGGGCTCCCGCTACGACGCCCGGCGCGGTGTCAGCGACTGGGACCTGCACATGAAGCTTCATGACCGTGGGGTGAGCGGGCTGGGACACCCCCAGTCCTGGGTGTGAAGGAGGAAGGGCGGAGAGGGGGGGCCCATATACAGTATTCACAGAGTCCTCTCTTCCCACCCCGCCCCAGGCCCGAGTCATCCACACCCGCGAGTTCAGGCGCTGGAGGGACACAGGCGTGGCCTTTGAGCTCAGAGATTCCAGTGCTTACCAGTTGCCCAACCGGACCCTGGCGTCCGGGCGCCTTCTGAGCCACGTGCGTGTCCATTCCCTGTCCTGGTCATCTCCTTCTTTGCGGGGAACCCAGGAGTTCGGGTCTCCAACGTCGATCTCACCCGTCTCCTCTCTCCCTACTTCTCTAGCATGGGGAGCGCGTGGCAGCGCGAGGGTACTGGGGGGACATCGCCACGGGGCCCTTCGTAGCCTTCGGCATTGAAACGGACGATGAGAGCCTCCTGCGGACCAGCAATGGACAGCCTGTCAAGGTGTGCTGTACCAGGCTGGGTTCGCAAGGCCCCGCCTCCTGCATTCCAGACCCCTCCCACAAACATCTGGGCTTTGCCTCCACGGGTTAGGCCCCTCCCATCTCTACTTCCTAAACTGAGTCCCAAGCCTGGGAATCCAGGTTTGCCCCTCAGATGCAAGCTCTAGGGATTGGGAGTGCAAAGGATGGCATATTACGAGCATTACCACCTAGGTTTTAACCCAGCGTCTGGCCATGCCCCTCCCCGCCAGACTGCAGGCGAAATCACGCAACACAATGTAACGGAGCTGTTCCGAGCTATGGCCACCTGGGGGCACCCGAGCGCCGCCCCAGGAGACCCTGATGAGGTTCCAGGCGAAGTAAACGGAACTCCGGAGCCTGGTAGGCGAGGGACTCAGCTCTCCCCCGTTGAGATGGAGACCATGCTTGGGTAATAAAATGGACACATCATCTCCCGGGGTGAGTGGGACCCAGACGCTGTCCCTGGCTTCAGGCTCCCGGTGTTTCAAGTACCAGAGCGGACCGATTTGTTTCCCACTGCCTGGACGAGTGAGCGCCCTTCCTGACAGTCGGTCTCTTTTGCTCTCCTGTCTTTGTAGATCTCTCCCTTTCCTAAGTTCTGACACTATTCTTAGCATTCTTAATTCCAGTGGTAGAATTCTGATCCTATCTGCAGAAGGCTAAGAGGCTAAGAACATTCTAACACGGTGCTGGGTTCTAGGTCACTTTTGGAAAGAAAACACCTCTTCCCTCTTTTTCCCCCTGAAATTTACTTTTTATTTATATTTTAGAGAGAGGGGAAGGGAGGGAGAAAGAGAGGAGAGAAACATCAATGCGTGGTTGCCTCTTGTGCACCCCCTAATGGGGACCTGGCCCAAAACCCAGGCATATGCCCTGACTGGGAATTGAACCAGCAACACTTTGGTTCACAGGATGGTGCTCAATCCACTGAGCCACACCAGACAGGGCTGGTCGTGCATCTTTCTAACCATCCCCATACCTGGTCCTCCCCTGTGTCTGGATGCCGTGTCCGGCCATGGACTAGTTTCTCTCTCTCTCTCGAGTCTCAGTTGACTGGACTGTAAAATGGGTTTCTGCCTACTGGAGGACTGCCATAGAATTTCCCAGGAATCCACCTAAAAGAAAGGATGAGAAAGGGCTTCAAGAGGCCAAGCAGTATTATCTATAAGCTTTGTGAGTCTGCCTAACTAACTGTGCTGGTCTTCCCCAGCAGCCCCCAGCCCGGGATCCTTCACTGTCCACTTTCTGCCCCTCGGTTCCACCCAGACACTCCACCACAGGAGCTGCTACAAGGGTCGGTTCCAGCTTCTCTACGTGGCCTGTGGGTAAGAGCTCCTGGGGTGTCCTAGGTTTCCCTTCCTCAGCCCCTCCTCCCTCCGACCCAGAAGTCCAGGCCTCCAGTCCTTCCTCAACCAGTGTTTCAGTCTCCAGCTCCTCCTCCCTCAAGACCTGCAAGTCTGAGCCCCACTCCTCCCGTTTCTCTCTGCAGGATGGTTCATCTTCTCAGTCCTGAGCTCGGGGCCTGCGTGGCCCCTGGAGGACGCCTGATTGTGGAATTAGCCCGGTGAGCCAGCGGAGCGCAGGGCAGGGAACCAGGCTGGAGACCGAAAGCCCGGTCCCCTCACATGTCGCTTCTGGATTTCAGGTACCTTGTGGACGTGAGGCAGGAGCAGCTTCAGGGGTTCTGTGACCGGGTTGGGGAACTGGCTCGGGCAGCTGGATTTGCCCCACAGCCTGGGACCGGACCCTCGGAGAGCTTTGCGCGCTTCTACAAGTGTGAGGACTCTGCTCCCATAGACGCAGCCGTGGATTCCGGGATTCTGCACGCTGAAACCCTGGCCCCGCCCCCAGAGTTACTGGTCCCGCCCCCTGAAGCAACAAATTCTCCCTCTGAGGACCTGGCCCAGCCCCTGCAAGGTCAAATCCCACTCTCTGAACCCCTCCAACTGCCCTCAGAGTCTCAGGCTTCACTTGAGGCTTTGGCTCCGCCCACAGGGAGTCAGACCCCCAAACCGGAGAGTCTGCCTGGACCTTCAGAGATTATGACATCCCCCATCTCTTAACTTCTAAAGTCAGGTCCTGGAATCAGAACCCTTCTCCAGAACACTCTCCACGTTCTCACTCTGCCCCAGAGGCGTTGCTCGACTTCCATTCCGTTTCTGAGATTCTATATTCTGTCCCTAGAATTCTCGGTGGGTTTCTCAGATTTCTACGCTCCACTCCTGACACTCTAAACGCAGACTAGAGGTCCGGCCCAGGTCTCAGGTCCCCTGAATGGTCCCCAGACGTCCCATTCCTCCTCACTGGGTGTTGGGGGATGTCTCCTCTTCTGGTCCAAATAAAGATGGCGGCATCTTCTTCTCTGTGTCCTTGTGTCCTGTCCTCAGTCCGTCTCCAGGGCCGAGCGGGAACGGGGAGGGGCCAGGAGAGGTCAAGAGAGGAGAGCCAAGACCATATTTCTGGTTTGCCAAGTGGACTACGAGTGGATTTGCCAGTGCTGTCACCTGAGTGCCTGGTCACCCCCCCCCCCACACCTGGTTCTTCAAATAAATCAACAAAATTTTCTCAATGGATAACCAGTTTGGGGCCCTGAAACTCACCATAAGATGATGAAAAAGACAAAACTCCAGCTCTCATGGAGATTGCAGTTTAGTGAGGGGATGGGGCCAAGACTCCTGTGTCTGAGGGAGGAGAGGCTGGAGGCCTGGACTTCCAGGTTTGATGGAGGAGGGGCTGGAGTCCTGGACTCCCAGGTTTGATGGAGGAGGGGCTGGGGATGGAATTCCTGGGTCTGAGGGAGGAGAGGCTGGAGGCCTGGACCCCTGGGTCTGAGGGAGGAGGGGCTGGGGGGCCTGGGCCCCTGGGTCTGAGGGAGGAGGGGCTGGGGGCCCTGGACTCCTGGGTCAGAGTGAAGGGGCCCGATTCCCCATCCGGCACTGTGGAAGGGTGATCCAGCTGGAGCACGGCCCACCCCACCCCTCACGCGCCCCGTTATCTCACATCCTGGGCGGTGGGAGGAGGGGGCAGCAGTATATTTAGTCTCTGCCCTTGTCCCTTATCAGTGTCCTCAGTGAGGCTTCGGCAGTCTGACCAGGCTGAAGTCCCTGGGGCTTTCAAGGTCACCCCGGACGGGTGCCCCCTCATTAACTCGCTGAGTTTCTTGTCCCTTCTCCATCTCCAGTCTGCAATATCAGCATGGCAGACGAGTGAGTGAAGCTGGGAACGGGGTCTCCTGGGGCCCGAGGCAGTGGGAGGTGGGTTTTCCTCGAGGGGTGAGAGCTGCGAGGCTGGAGCCCTGTCCTGAGAAAGGAGGTGGGACAGGACTCCTGGGTGTTGTCCGGATGGGGTAAGGGTTTGGAATCAGACTCCTAGGACCCTGGACGGGGAGGATGGGGAGACCAGACCTCGTGGTCAGAGGGGCTTCTGGGGTCCCTTTGGAGACCGACTGGACAGGCCACAGGCCTAGCATTAACTCCCTTTCCTGGTTTCTCTCCCTCCAGGAGCGGCGATGCGGTGAGAACAGGCATGGGCCGGCCGGCAAGGGGCGGGGAGGGGGGGGGGCACTGCGGGGAGGGCTCTGGGGCCGGAGGCTGCCCCTCTAGAAGAGGTCACGGACAGGGGCTGAGGGCCCTGGTGGTGATGTGGTTCCGTTCCTCCAACCTCAGGGGGAACCGCGCCCAGCCCCGGTTCGACGCAGGTCCTCCGCCAACTACCGTGCCTACGCCACTGAGCCCCACGCCAAGGTGAGGGTGGGGCCAGCCCTATGAGCAGGGTCCGGGCAAGGCCTGGATTCAGAGTCCTTGAAGCTTACCTAGCACCTTGGGGGAAAGGGGTGGAGCCATGGCCTTAATGGGGCGGGGTTTGGGTCATGGGTGGAGTCTAAGCAAAAGGCGGGGGGATTAAGGGGCGGGGTTTCGCTCTGGACCCGGCTGGGAGTGGTGAGAGCTGCCTAGGCAGGAAATTGATGCTCTGAGGACTTGCGATTGCTTACGAGGTGGTGGGCGGTGTCTAGTCAGAGTCAGGCGCCCAGATTGGTGGATGGGGCTGAGGGGCGTGGCCTCCTATACACTGAGGTTTGGAGTTGGAGGCAGACTCAGATCTCGACCACACTTAGGGGGGCGGGTTCTGAAGCCCTTCCCACCACCCACTTTTGAATCCCACCCCCCTTACTTCTTCATTCCATCTCATGCTGGCAGAAAAAGTCTAAGATTTCCGCGTCGAGAAAACTGCAACTGAAGGTGAGGGAGCCTAGTCGTTCTTGCGGGGCGGGGCTTCAAAGTAGGGGTGAGGTTGTGCCAGTGGGTGAGACCCAGAGTGTTGGGTTTGATGGTGTGGCTTTGCCGGGAGGGAGGAGGGGGCGGGAGTCCCGAAATGGCAGGGCGGGGCCTTGGAATTGTGGACCTTGTTGGGCCGGGACTCTGGAAGACCTAAAACCGAGCCTGGGATTAGGAGGCAGCCTGGGCGGGGGCAGCCTCCTATTCCATCTTCATCCCGCTCTCCAACGTGGCCTGCGGTCCGGCCTCCCCTCTACAGACCCTGATGCTGCAGAGAGCGAAGCAGGAGCTGGAGCGGGAGGCAGAGGAGCGGCGTGGAGAGAAGGGGCGCGCTCTGAGCACGCGGTGCCAACCCCTGGAGTTGGCCGGGTTGGGCTTCGAGGAGCTACAGGTACCAGCTCTAATAGGTGTCTCCTGCCCAGTCTGGGGTGTCCTGGGTTCCTATGTCCAGTCTTGCATCCCTGGGTCTCAGGTAGCATCACTCTCCGTCCCCTTCTGCTCAGGACTTTGGGGCCCAGTTTCCCAGTGTTTACCCTCGTGAGCTCAGAAATATGGCCTGCAAGCTGCTTACAGTCTCAAAACCCAGAGGTCGGTTTCTCCATTTCTAATTCTGTAGGTTCTCAGGATTGCGGGCTCTGGAGTTCTGCTTTGCTCACAGTTCCCCAGAGTCTGGCTTCAGTCTACTTCAGGACCAGATAGATATCCAGGTCCCCAGCCCCTCCTCCCTCAGACCCATGGGTGCGGTCCCCGGTCTCCCCCTGCCACCCACACCATCTTCCTTTGCCAGGACTTGTGCCGACAGCTCCATGCCCGCGTCGACAAGGTGGATGAGGAGAGATATGACGTGGAGGCTAAAGTTACCAAGAACGTGACAGAGGTGGGAGGCACAGGCTATTCTGGGTCCCTTCAGGGTAGGGTGCAGTGCCTGGGGCTGTGCTCTCAGCCTGGCCCCTTGCAGCTGTTTGAGGTTGAAGATACCGGGGGACCCAGATCAAACTCCGTGAGTCTGCCAGGGCTCAGGCGGGAGGATGACTACCATAATGCCTGGCCAGGCTGTGCCAGGCAGAGGGAGGGGGGACAGCAGGAAATATGTCTGTGAAAATGTGTGGCTGGAGCATCGAGCATTGGTCAGTGAGCTCAGGCATGGATGGGGAAGTGTGAGATGCAGGTTAGCTGGACAGGGGTGTGTGGGTGGTTTTCAGAGGGATGAGGCTGGGGCAGACCGAGGAAGGATGGCAGCTCAGGAGGAGGAGCTTGGAGTGTGTCCCAGATGAGGAGCAGGAGCCTGAGGTGGAAAATGCCTGGACAAGGTCTGGGTAGGGACAGGAGGGCAGTGGAGGGTGGGGGAGAGAGGCAAGGGGGGAGTGTAGAGAGAGGATTCCTCCTCCCCTTATGCTCTCCTCTCCCAGATTGCAGATCTGAACCAGAAGATCTTTGACCTCCGGGGCAAGTTCAAGCGGCCCACCCTGCGGAGGGTGCGGATCTCTGCAGATGCCATGATGCAGGCGCTGCTGGGGACCAGGGCTAAGGAGACCTTAGACCTGCGGGCCCACCTCAAGCAGGTGAAGAAGGAGGACACGGAGAAGGTGAGTGTGGCTGGGCCAGGAAAGGGAGTGCTTAGAGGAGAGCGGGTGGGGGCAACATTCCCAGGGCCTAGCCGCAGGGCAGGTGACTTTTGGAATTTGGGGGAGAAGAATTTGGTAAGGAATCCTCAAAGGGAAGTATAGGATGGGGGCACAGGAAGTGCAACAGGAAGACAGGAAGTAGAAGGGGAAGACTACAAGTACATTAGGAGAAAGGAAGTAGCCTGGAGTCAGGTTACAGGAAGTGCAAGAGGGGACAGGAAGTGCAGGAGGGAGACAGGAAGTGTAGAAGGGAGGCAAGAAGTGCAAGAGGAAGACAGGAAGTGCAGGAGGGAGACAGGAAGCGCATGGGGCAAATTGGTCGGGATTGTTTCTAGGGCAGGAAGTGTTCCCACACCAGATCTTTGGGCAGACATCCAGAACAGAGCAGTCCAGCAGGCCGGAAGGTGGGTGGAGGATATTTGAGGGAAGACACTCTAACTTCGGGCCCCATTTCTGCAGGAAAACCGGGAGGTTGGAGACTGGCGCAAGAACATTGATGCACTGAGTGGAATGGAAGGCCGCAAGAAAAAGTTTGAGGGCTGAGCCAGCCTTCCCATGCTTTGAGGAATAAAACTTCTATCTGAGCTGGGAGTGGCCGCGTGTTCACTATCTGGGGGCTTGGGGGTGAGAGGTGGAAGGATTGAGAGCCGGGGTCCCCAAAGTCACACTGCACCTCAGGAGCAGAGCTGGATTCTCCAATATAGGGCATGCTCGGCTCCTCTTCCTTACGTGGGGGGCACAGGGATCAGGGATGCTGAGATGGAGGCCTAAAGAGTCACCCAGTGACACAGACAAAGACCGAGTCAGGCACCCAGGGAGAGAGACACACAAAGACCCAGAGGGAGAGGGGAAAGGACAGATTCCTGGAAAGAAGTGCAAAGCAAGCCAACCAGAGAGAGCTATCCATGCAGTGAGACAGCTGGCAATGGAGACAGAAATGAGGACTTGTGGAGGCTTAACTGCAGAGATGCATAGAGAGAGCCAGAAAGAGCTAAAAAGGTAGAGACATAGATGCAGAACCAAAGAGAGACAGATACAGGGTCACAGACACATGAGAGACCCGAGACATAGGCATCGACAGATGCAGATATGCAGGGAAACACAGAAATGCACAGACAAGAACGCGGATAACCCTGGCTGGTGTGGCTCAGTGGGTTGAGTGCCGGCCTGTGAACCAAAAGGTCACTGGTTCAATTCCCAGTCAGGGCGCATGCCTGGGTTGTGGGCCAGGTCACCATTGGGGGTGTGTGAGAGGTAACTTTTTCACACAACGATGTTTCCCTCTCTGTCTCCTTCCCTTCCCCTCTCTCTAAAAGTAAGTAAATAAAATCTATATATAAAAAACACACACACATGAGGAGAGACACACTGAACAGAAACACAGAGAGAGACCAAATCAGAGACCCAAAAAATGGAAACCCAGAGAAATGCACAGAAACAGACACAGAGAGATGGCAGATGGTGAAAGAGACCAAGAGAGAGACACCAGAAGGCATGCAGGGGTGAGGAGCTCCTCTCCAGGGCTGGCTCCCCAGAGGTCAAGGTCGTGGCTTGGCAGGGAAAGAAGGAGAGAGATACCAAAAAAAGTCCGTGTCAGATGGAGGTGTATGTGTGTGTGGGGAGGGTAAGGTCGTGAAGGCCTGACACCCCACCCTCTCTCCTCCCCCCCGACGCACACCTGCTTCCCGGCTTTAGCGCCTGTTGTCACCAGGGTGGAATCCTGGTGGCAGACAAAGGGTGGGGGGTGGGGAGAGAGTGACAGAAAGATGGACAGAGAGAGACACGTGCAGAGACACCCAGTGGAGAGCTACAGAGACAAAGGAGAGAGAGATAGAGAAAAAGTATGAGAGATGGACACCCAGAGAGACACAGAAAGGAAGGCTGGACCCTTGGAAAGAGAAAACAACTCTTTTCCCCCTGTCATCAATAAGCATTATCCAAGGACCTCTGTGTGTGAAGCCTGGGTCTCCCAAGCATAGAGTGCCTCATGCTGTAGGGAGGGAAGGAGCATGGGGGTTGCCTGACCCAGCTGGGGGCTCCTGGGAGGCACTGATGGCTGGAGAAGGGGGTTGCAGCAGGCAGGAGCTGCCTGGATCATGTATGTGGAGCTGGAGTGGAGGCAGGGCCCTCTGCTCTAGGACTAGTGTTTGGGGAAAGGAATTTTCCCCCGCCCTCTCCTCCGGGGCGGGGCCACACTCCACTATAAACCGGGGCTGCCTCAGCTCCCCAGCACGTTCACGCCTCTGCAGACTCAACCTTAGGTAAGGGCCGTGATCTCCCGGGTTGCGGGGGTGGGGTGGAAGACAGGAGGGGTGTGGAGCAGAGGTATGGATGTGAGGATTTGGGGGTTACTAGCAATGGGGGTGTCTGGATTTGGGTGTTGCAGAATATATGAAACCTTAGGACCTTGGAAGTCTGAGAATCAGGAAATCTCAAAAATTGGGAGTGTCTGGACTTGGATGCCCAATAGTCTGGATTTCAGAGCTTGGAGATGAGAATCAGGAGTTTGGGGAATTGAGGACTCAGGATCTGTGGTCTCGTGATTCGAGGTTTGAGAACTTCTAGTGCCACAATTTGGGGTATCATGATGTGGGCCACTGAGTTTGGGCATCTGGTTTTGGGGTCTCACGATCCTGAGGTTTCAGAAGTTATGGGGTGTCTAGACCTGGGGTCTCAACTGGTGTCTCAGAATCGACATGAGGACTCGTTGGTGCATCTTAAATTGGGGGTTTAAAGGTCTGTGGGTATTGGGATTTGGGGGTACGGGGCCTGGGGGCTGTCAGACATTGGGGGGATCTATGTAGGAGTGAGGATGGGGCCTGCCTCCTCCCTGGCTGTGGGTGAAGGTGAAAGGAGACAGGTGGGGAGACACCCAGCCAGAGGGGAGGGGGGCATCTGGGGGCAGGAAAGGGGAACAGGTGTGGCTAATTCTCCCAGAAGGCCCCCCCACTCCTCGAGTCCCTTTTTAGGAGATGTCCTCTGTTTTGCTGTCCGTGACATCCCCCCGAAATAGCCCCTGGGGGTGGGGCAGCTATTGTCTTCGGGCTACTGCGGGTTCCCAAATACCTTTTCGTAATCCCGCCGGATCAGGTTCCCACCGCCCTGTCATAAGACAAAGGAGGACAGCTGGAGTGGGGGGTGGGGCATGCAGGAGCCCCAGCTTTGGGGCTCTGCCTGGATAGCACCTCCCAAAGGCCTGTCCTCACACGGCTTAGGAATTGGGCTCCCTCCTCCCTCAGACCCAGGGGTCGGGCCCCCAGCCCCACCTCCTTGGGGGCCCCACCCCACTCCCCCTTTTCTCTGTGGTCCTCAGGTCATACCAGGATGTCGGACGCCGAAGAGCAGGAATGCGAGGAGTGAGTGTTGCTGGCGGGAGGACTGGGGGCCTGGAGAAGGGGAGACCCTTCCCACCCTCCAAGTGTCTAACTCTCCCTCCACTTTCTCTGCATCCCCGTCTTCAGGGAGCAGCCCGAAGGTGAGTGGGGTGTGCGCTGGCCTTAGGGGGGGGTGGCGGGTATCCCACGCGATCTCTTGGGAGGGGCTGTGCAGAGAGGCGAGTGGGCCCCCTCCACCTGTCCCTGACTCCCACCCTACCCCACCCCCCCGCCCCCGTCCTCCCGGGTTTCCTGAGCGTTTCCCAGAGCAGTCTGTGCCCAGCCAGTGGAGAAAGCTTGCGCTGCCCACCTGCCGCTGAGATCCAGAGGGGTCCCGGTCCCCGCTGAGACTCGAACCCTGGCCTCTGCCCCACCCCCACCCCGGCGCCCCTGGGCTCCTAACGGCTTCTTGTCTTTGCCCCTTCCAGAAGAGGAGGCTGCCGAGGAGGAGGCTGCAGTGGAGGAGGAAGGTGAAGCCGTGCACTCCGCTGGCTGGAGCCGGACGCGGGGACCGCGTGGGGTGCCCAGCACTGCCCAGGGGTGGAGGCTGGGGTCGGGGCTCCCGATGGCCTGGCTTTCAGTTCCTTTAACAGCCTCTCCACTCTCTTCCCTCTCTCCCCTCCCGCACCCGGGCGTGGCCGCTCCCCCCTTCCCGCATCTCTCCCCAAATCCGCGCTTCTCCCCAGAACCCTCCCCAGCCCCCGAAGAGCCGGAGCCGGCGGCAGAGCGAGGTAACCGCGTCTGCTTCGCTTCCCGAGAACGATTTCGGGGTCTTCCCCGCCCCGATATCCGCGTCACCCTGACCTCCTGGGGGACTCCCTCCAGCCCCCTAATCCCTACCCCTAACTGGGTCTTTCAAGCCCCAGAGAGCCCGCGCGCCCTCTGGTCGCCACGAAGGGAAATCGCCTCGCAGCGGCATTAACTCTTTCCCTTCCTTCTTAAAGGGACCTTCACCCAAGCCTTCTTCCTCAGCCTGGAGGACTACTTAATAGAAGGGTTGCATGTTTGTGGAAAGGCACCCCTCCCCCATCTTTGCCCCCAACCCTGTCTGTCATTTTTTCCCCCCTCCATATACATTCAAAGGTTGGGGCCTGGGTTGCAGAAGGGGCTGGCACTGGGAGTCTGCCTTCCTGTGCCCCCGCCGCCCCCACCCCATGGGTGTGGGCTGGGGTCAGAACTGGATCACCAAATGAAGAGAGGGCTTGGGGCCCCCTGCACTTCTAGGTCTTGATGGAGGAGGTCTGGGTATGCCGAAGGGGGAGGGTCTGGGGCTTGGCTCTCTGGGTTCCAGACAAGCGGGAGGAGGTCCCCACACCAGTTCTGAATGTATATCTGATGCGGCCACCCTAACTTCCTTTCTCCCTCCTTTCCCCCCATGCCCTCGCCCCCACCCCAAGAGCAGCTGGAGAAGGGAACTGGGCTCCTGGGAGCCAAGGCTTGGGGTGTTTTCTCTTCAGCACTCCACATGAACTCTGACTAATTATCTCTTTGTATCCCCCCCACCAGAAGAGGAACGCCCCAAACCAAGGTGAGATCCCAGGGGCGTGGGGGATCCAAATCCCACCGTCCCAAGTATGTCCCCCACCTCCCCCGAGACTGGGTGTGAGGAAGGCAGAGAATGAAAGTCAGAGGGAAGCACAATTGCAACACAGGGAAGCACAGTCAGCGATTCCTTCTTTTTTTTTTTTTTTACAAAAAAATTTAGTCTTTATTTTTAAAAAAGATTTTTAAATTAACCAATTAATTAATTTTTAGAGAGAGGGGAAGGGAGGGAAACATCAATGTGTGGTTGCCTCTTGCACGCCCCCTACTGGGGACCTGGCCCACAACCCAGGCATGTGCCCTGACTGGGAACGGACCCAGCAACCTTTCCGTTTGCAGGCCGGTGCTCAATCCACTGAACCACACCGGCCAGGGCAGTGATTCCTTCTTTAGCAAACATTTCTGGAGAACTTCCCATGGTGGTTGGTGGGTCAGACCCCATCTGCTCTGTTGCTGAAACAGACCCAGATATAGTGATTGTACCACTGTACCAAACAGGGTACTAGAGTAGCATAGGTCAGTGCTCTATGTTTGCCCTAGGCAATCAAGGAAGGCTTCTCAGGGGAAGTGATGCCTGTCTAGCTGAAGGAGGTAGATGGGAGATTGTAGGTGAGACAGCTGTGTGGTGTGCTCAAGGTCCAGTGGCTGATCTAGGCCAGTGTTTCAGGGACAGACACAGACACAGGTCATTCTGATGAGGAAGAGCCTGAACTAGGGGATGTATGGGGAACTCATGACCAGGATAGCATGACACTGAGGCCAAAGCTTAGAGATGCTAGGAGGCAGCAATCCGAGGGTGAGAAAAAACCTAGAAGCAGAAATTCCCTGGGTTTGTGTGGGCAGTGGTGTAAATTTCAAGGTGGCTTGAGGCTAGGGTACAGCAAGAGGCAGAGCCGTGAAGTCCAGGGCACTAGGGAGCCATGGAATGATTTTGAGCAGAGGAGGCACAGGGGCAGATCTGGGTGAGAGAGCACAGATGTGACACGGCAGGGTCAGAACATAGTGCTTTGCTGCCACCTGCTGGAGATCTCATCAGGGAAGGCTTGGTGGAGGAGGAAAGGTCTCAGGGACTAAGGCTAGCAGGGGAAGGGCATTGCTGGCAGAGGGAACAGCATGTGCAAAGGCCCTGGGGTGCAAGAGCATGGGACACGGCCAGGGAACAATGCAACATGGTGTGTGTCTGAGTGCGGAGCCAAGAGCTTACGAGAGAGAGTTTGGGCTGCAGATAGAGTTGGCGAGCCCTCAGTAACTGATGATCGTTGTAGTCGAAGTTATGGGGCGAAAGACATTGATCACAAGAGTATCCTAAGAATGAGTAAAATGGCTCACTGGGGGACAAGGAGGCAGAGATGGGACAGCCAGGGGAGCAGGAAGCAAGTCAGGAGGAGGTGCTTGCTGTCTCTCAGAAGCCCAAGAAAGAGAGAGGACAGAGGGCTCACCTCGCCCCAGCAGCTCCGCCCAATACAAATATAATTCATGTAACTTTAAATTCTTTACTAGCCACATTTTAAAAACTAAGACAAAACACGTAGAGCTAATCTTAATATCATACTTTGTTCAATCTGTGGTATGTGAAATTTCAACCTTTCAACTTGCAATTAACACAAAACATGAGATTTTTTGGAAAGATTTTACTTATATTTTTGGAGAGAGGGGAAGGGAGGGAGAAAGAGAGGGAGACATCTATGTGTGTGATACATCGATCTGTTGTAGCCCCTCCCACGTCCCCAACGGGAAACCTGGTCTACAACACAGGCATGTGCCCTGACTGGGAATCAAACCAGCGACCTTTTAGTTCACAGGCTGGCGCTCAATCCACTGAGCCACACCAGCCAGGGCGAGATGTTTTAGATTATGTTTCTTACACTAAACCCTTGAAATCAGATGTGTATTTCACTGACAGTCCCTCTCCATGGGACCAGGCCCTTGGCAGGTGCCCAGAACCACGTACGGCTGGTGACCGCTGCACTAGCTAGTACTGCAGGGACTGCCAGGGACCTCACACTGCTCACTGTCTTTCTCTTCTATCCATCAGCCGCCCCATGGCTCCACTGATCCCCCCAAAGATCCCGGAAGGGGAACGCGTGGACTTTGATGTAAGTAACAGACATCCCGTCCCGCCCCCGGGAGCCAGCAGCTGCTAGCCCTTAGGGTATCTTCGTGCGAAATAGGAACAGGTGTGTCTCATTCGGCCTTCTTTAGGAATTAGGTCCTAAAAGCCAAAGTAGGATCAAAAGATGGTCTTTGCTGCCACCTGCTGGAAATTTAGTGAACTGTCAAATCCACTGATTTTCGCAAGAATTGCAGAGGAGGCACAGGGTCAGATCTGGGTGACCTTTTTTTTCTACCTTCTGTCCTGTAGGACATCCACCGGAAGCGGCAGGAGAAGGACCTCTTGGAGCTGCAGACGCTCATTGATGTGCATTTTGAGCAGCGCAAGAAGGAGGAAGAGGAGCTCATTGCGCTGAAAGAGCGCATTGTGAGTCGAGGGTGGCGGGGCTCCCCAAATTCTTCCCTCACCCTGTGCCATCCTTTGGATCTTGGGGGATAAGGAACAAGAGTTGCAGTCCAGGTCAGACCCGAGGTTGAAACTTTCGGAAATGGATCCAAGTCTGGCCTCACTCAAAGTTGTGCATTTTTTTTGCTCTTGACATCCTTTTGGGGAGGGGTAGTGTGTGGGTGGGTGGTTGTCCCTGAACCCCTAATTCTTCTTCACCACACCCCCCAGGAGCGGCGCCGGGCAGAAAGAGCTCAACAGCAACGCTTCAGAACCGAGAAGGAGCGCGAGCGTCAGGCCAAGCTGGCGGTGGGTGACTTCTTTGTCTATTTTCCATTCATGATATTCTCTGTGATCCTGAAAAAGTCCTCGTGCTGTGTTACTCAAGGATCTTTCTGTCAAAAGGAACAGAAACTGCAAACCAAGCTGGATTCAGCGGAAGGAGAATTTTTTTGGCTCATCCAAAACAAAAGTCTAGGGTGTGGCCTGCTTCAGGCATGGCTGGATCAAGGGACTCAAAGAGCCTCACAAAGATCCAACTTTTTTCTTCCTATCCCTTGGCCCATCTTTCTCTGGACATTGCAGTGACCAACTCATCCCTGTTTGCCTGCGACTTTTCTGGTCTCAGCCCTAAAATTCGTGCATCCCGTCTGTCCCAGGCAAGCTAGAATTGTTCACCCATTCCTAGCTGGGGGAGAGTGTTCAGAATGCATCCATTATTTTAGGCCTTGGAAACATGACCTGAAGTGGCATCAAATGAACCACTTTTGAATAAAATTGGCAGAAATAAAATAAAATAAAATAAAAAAGGAACCACTTTTAAGGAGCAGGAGTAGGGTGGTGTGGTAGGCAGAATAAGGGTCTCCTCAAGAGGTTTACATCCTGATTCCTGTAGTTTGTGATTATGATCCTTACACAGCAAAAGGGACTTTGCAGATGTGGTTAAGGTTCTGGAGACAGGGACTGATTTTGGATTATCCAGGTGGGCTCAGTGTCATGACCAGGTGCTTTGTGACCCCCAGGAGGGTCAGAGATCTTAGATCTTTGAAGATGGAGGAAGGGGCGCAGAGCAAAAGGAGGCAGGCAGCTCCTAAGCCCGGGGGAGGTAAGGACTTAGATCCTCACCGGAGCCTCCAGAAAGAACCAGCCCTATTCACACCTGGGTTCTCTTCACACCTGTGTTAGACTTCTGACCTGCACAACTGTAAGAGCATAAATTTGTGTTGTTTAAAAAAAATTTTCCCCCACCCTGACTAGTGTGGCTCAGTGGATTGAGTGCTGGCCTATGAACCCAAAGGTCACTGGTTTGATGCCCAATCAGGACACATGCGTGGGTTGCTGGCCAGATCGCCAGTAAGGGGCACGTGAGAGGCAACCACACACTGATGTTTCTCTCCCTGTCTTTTCTCTCCCTTACCCTCTCTCTAAAAATAAATAAATACAAATCTTTAAAACAAAACTAAAAAAGATTCCCCTCCCCAGTTACAGTTGACATTCAATATTATATTAGTTTTCAGGTGTACAGCATAGTGGTTAGACATTTATGTAATTTACAAAGTGACCCCCCCCATAAGTCTAGTACCCATGAGGTGAATTTGCCTTGTTTGAAGCCGCTAAGTGTGGAGAGTGCAGCAGTCCTAAGAAACTAACTCAGGCAAGAAATGCTGGACATGCAAAAACCATCAAGCCCACCTCGCTGGCCCTTCCAGTGGGGAGGGTCTTGGTCTGGACATGCCGCTATGCCTGCAACGTGCAGGCCACACATTCTGGACGAGGTACCACCTTTGCTAGACATTCCAGGACCCCTTGCTCCGGCTCAAGGCCGTCAGCCTCTTAGTGCCTCAGGCCCCCACTGCCATCACCAGTTACCCTCCTCGACCCTCTGAGGACAGTGATTCTTGTGTCATGAGATGAAGGGAGACTAAGGCCCAGAGAGGGTGAGCGTCTGTGCTGAGGTCACACAGCCAGGTTCACCATCGGTCGCTTCAGGCTGGAGGGGTGCAGGACCAGCAAGCTCATCTCTCCCCCATTTAAATTTTTGCTGGAGGGGGAATTCCCAAGGCCCAGAGAGGAGGAGGGACTTGCGGGTGGTCACACAGCCAGGCCTGGAAGGGCCAGGGGGGATGTCTGCGTGTCTGCCTGGTCCCATGCTACTTGTCTCCTATCACTGGGTCTGAGCCCCACTTCTGCATCCTCATCTCAGCCCCCCACAGTGTGGGGCAGGCCTTGGGGGCTAACCTTCCCCCACCAACCGCAGGAGGAGAAAATGCGGAAGGAAGAAGAAGAGGCTAAGAAGAGAGCTGAGGATGACGCCAAAAAGAAGAAGGTTCTGTCCAACATGGGTGGCCATTATGGGGGTTACCTGGTCAAGGTGAGTTCAGCTGGTGGGGACCTGAAGTCTGGGTTCCCAGGGAGGAGGCAACTGAGAGGACAGAGTTCTGGTTCCTGAGGGTAGGGGCTGGGGGCCTGGGCTCCTGGGTCTGAGGGGGGAGTGAATGGGGTCTAGATGCCCGAGGTCCAGTGAGAGAAGTCCAGTGAGGTCCTGGATTGTGGACCCCCGGGTCCTGACGTGGGGAGCCATCTGGAGGATTCGTGCCCCAACTCAAGATGTCTCCTTCCCAATGTTCAGGCAGAGCAAAAGCGGGGCAAGCGCCAGACAGGGCGGGAGATGAAGGTTCGAGTCCTGTCTGATCGTAAGAAGCCTCTGAACATCGACAGTATGGGAGAGGACCAGCTCCGGTAGGTGGGGAGGGGCCTGAGTGTGAGACAGGGAGATGAAGGGACCCTCATCCAGATCTGTGAGGGCAGAAACCCTGGTGCTGTGTGACTTATGGCAAGTGCCTCCCCCTCTCTGAGCCCCTGTAGCTTCCTCTGTGAGACATGTCACTGAGATGGGACCCACTCTTGGTTGGGTGCCAAGACCTCTGAGTGAAATTCAGTGACATAATAGTATTTCACATCATGATCTCATTGTATAACAGCTCAGTGCAATAGACTTTTATTTATTATTATAGACAGAGGGGAAAGGAGAGAGAAAGAGAGGGCGAGAAACATCAATGTGTGGTTGCTTCTCATACGCCCCCTCCTGGGGACCCAGCCCACAACCCAGGCATGTGCCCTGACTGGGAATCAAACCAGCAACCCTTTGGTTCACAACCCAGCGCTCAGTCCACTGAACCACACCAGCCAGGGTCAAAGTGTTCTGTTTCTAAGGAAGACAGGGATAAGGGATGTTGGGTGGGCATGCAGCCATCTCTTTCACAGTTTTATTTCTACTTTTCTTTTTGAGATGGAAACACAATCCTAGGGGAAGTCACTTGGTCACAGTCACCAATCAGAGAATGGAAGAGCTGGGACTTGAACCAGGGCTTTCTGACTCTGGTTGAGTCCTTAGCAGTGACCTCATTCTCACTTAGGGGAATATGTATCTCCATTGTGGGTGGGGAGACAGTGAGCAGAGATTTAAAAACCCTTTGCTTCAATTCCCATTGCATATCTCCCATCGCCTCAAAAATTAACCAAATTGGACCAATAATACCAAATTCAGAGACTCGCTGTGTGACTTTGGACAGTACCCTCAACGTCTCTGAGCCTATGGCGTGGCCAGCCCCCAGTCCCTGATGGCCTGTCTGTTCCGCCAGGGACAAGGCCCAAGAACTGTGGGACTGGATCCACCAGCTGGAGTCTGAGAAGTTTGACCTGATGGAGAAGATGAAGCAGCAGAAATACGAGGTGAGACCCAGCTCCGCTGGGGGCCCTGGCTGGGCTGGGACAGGGCAGGGCGCTGTGGACGAGCCTGTCCCCAAGCGGTGCCAGCATCTCCTTCCCACCCCCCTCCACAGATCAACGTGCTCTACAATCGCATCAGCCACGCCCAGAAGTTGTAAGTGTGACTGGGCCTGAGCCCCACACCCTCCCTTTGACTCTCCGGGTCTCTCCTTCCTTCTCCATCCCCCTCATTCTGTCTTGGCATCTGTCCCTTCCGCTTTGTCCCTCATTCCATCATTCCCCTCTGCCCAAATGAGAACGCATTTGCCCGGCTCTTCCTCTGGGCACCAAGGGCACGTATTCTGGGGTGGGGGAGGGGGTCCCATCTCAGCTGGCCGCGAAGCCCTCCCTTCTGACACTGCTCCCTTCCCCTACAGCCGCAAGGGGGCAGGGAAGGGCCGCGTTGGAGGCCGCTGGAAGTGAGGCTGAGGTGGCCGCCAGCCTGGAGAAGGCAGCGGGAGTCCTTGGAGGGCTCTTCCCATCTGTTTCTTGAAATAAACGGCGCCTGCGGTCACCTGCTGAGTTGTCGTTATTGTCATTATTAAATTCTTATCGCCAACTCCTGGTCTTTGGAGAATTCTCATATTATCACAATGATATATAAAGTTAAACCCTCCCACACGGCTGGTGGGAAGGTCAAATTAGGCAGCACTTGGGGAAACTGTCAGTTCCTTACAACGTTAAACACAGAGTTACTGGCCCAGCAATTCCACATGTAGGCGTCTGTGCAAGAGAACGGAACACAAAGGTCCCCACAAGACCTTGCAGGTGAACGTGGCCACTGCATTATTCACAGTAGCCAATAGGCGGTGACAGCCCAGGTGTCCAACACAGATGGGCAGACACACTGGAATATTACTCAGCCATGAAAAGGAGTGAAGCACTCATCGTGCTACAACATGGATGAACCTTGAAAACATGGTGCTGAGGGAGAGAAGCCAGACCCAAAAGGTCACATAGTGTATGATTCCATTTCTATGAAATTTCCAGAAGGCAAACTCACAGAGACAAAAGGTTAGATTAGTGCTTTCCGGGAACTGGGGAGAGGGGTGGGGAGGGGAGGGCTTAAAGAGCACAGTTGTGAAAATGTTGTGGAATTAATGATAGTTACACAGCCTTGTGAATACAATAAAGAACACCTTAATGGGACACTTGGAAATGGTAAAGTTTCTAGTATGTGCATTGTATCTGATTTTAGAAATGCAAAAACAAAGCCTGCCCTGGCTGGGTAGCTCAGTTGGCTGGAGCATTGTCTCACAGACCAAAAGATTGTGGGTTCAGTTCCCACTCAGAGCACATACCTAGGCTGCACATTTGATCCCCAGTTGCGGCACGTATGGGAGGCAAACCAATCAATGTTTCTCTCTCTCTCTTCCTCTCTAAAATCAATAACAACAACAACAACAACAACAACAACAACGTATCCTTGGGTGAAGATTAAAAAAAAACAAAGCCTAACAAAATAATTTACAAAGTTACCCATGGTCAAATCAGTGATGAATTAATGCCTGTCCCTTGCCACTGTCTTTGTGACTTTCTGAATGGCACTTATATTAGTGAGCAGATGGGTCTGGGTACTGGGCCCCGAATTCCAAATAAGAGTGGCTTCAGTGAGAGAGTGGATTTCTCCGGCATGGACGTGTCTGACTTGAGACGGGGCTGTGTTTCGTGAAGTTGTCTGGGACCAGGGTCCTTCATCTGTGAGGCATCTCTAGGATGTTGCCTTTGTCTAGGGGGTGGGCACTTAGGACTACATGTTTGTGTACCCCCAGGTTCGTATGTTAAAGCCCTGCCCTCCAACAGAATGGTGTTTGGAGGTGGGACCTTTGGGAGGTGGTTAGGGTTAGATGAGGTCCTGAGAGTGGGACCCCCATGGTGGGGTTTTTATTTATTTATTTTTTACTTTTTATTTTTTAAAAGTATTTTTTAAAAGATGTTATTTATTTATTTTAGCTGGGGGGAGAAGGAGAGGGAGAGAAACATCAGTGTGTGGTTGCTTCTCATGTGCCCCCTACTGGGGACCTGGCCCAAAACCCAGGCATGTGCCCTGACTAGGAATCGAACGCATGGCCCTTTGGATTGGCTGGCAGCTCAATCCACTGAGCCACACCAGCCAGGGCTCATGGTGGGGTTTTTAGAAGTAGAGGAAGAGACCAGAGTTTTCTCTCCACCATGTGAAGACACAGAGAGAAGGTGGTTGTCTACAAGCCAGGAAGATGGCTCTCCCCAGAACCCTGCCACCCTGGCACCCAGATCTCAGGCTTCCAGCCTCCAGAACTGTGAGAAATTAATGGCTGTTGTTTAAGTCATGAAGTCTATGGTGTGTTTGGCCTGGCAGCCTGTGTTGACTGAGACAGTAAGTGCTCCACCAGCCTCCACAAGCAGGTCAGCCATGGGTGTCTTTCCTCTTAAATGTAAAATACTCTTTTTGTACAAATCGCTCTCACAAAGGACAGGGTTTAAACAACAGAATCAGAACCGAGTTACAATGTTCTTAGCTGTTTCCACACTGGACAGGAGTGTGAACTGGGGGGGCACTCTGTGATTGTTCTCAGTTCATCCCTTTATCTGAACCATCTTTGTGATGTTAGACCAGCCTCTGTTTTTTCTGCCTGTTGCAGGGGAAGAGAGGACATTTTTCTAAAAATCATTCTGAGGTTATTTTCATCAGCCATGAGGAGGGTCAGCAGCTCCAAGGTCAGGAATCAAAATTCCAGGGTTAGCACTGACAGAAAAAAACAGGACTGAGAAGTGAAGAAATCTGCCTCATGGAAAAGAGCAGGGCAGAAGAGAATTTTAACAAGTGGAGTATGAAAGTGCCTGGACACAGCCAAAGTCATCTACCTGTTAGATACCTTATGTCTGCTGTCTCCACAACCCCAGGGACGAAGAGATTGGCCCAAAGTCCCAGAGCTAGAAAGAGGGCAGAGACAAGATTCGAACCCAGGACTGCCTGAACCACAGCTGGAATTCTTAACCACTGCAATAGCATAGAATTTTAAAAACAGAAGTTTAAAGTCAATGTAACCATTGCTAATAGAGCTTATGGTGGGAGCACAACCCACAGTTCCTTCTGTGGCTTGAGCAGATGCCCCAAATTGTCTCCCACAAATACACAATCACAGTCACAAAAATACAGATGTATTTACACCAAAGCTTATAAACACCATAAACAGAAGCACCCACAAACAGCACACACCCAGCCACAGACACAACTGAATGTACACACAATTATAATGTGTTACAGTACTCATAGGCACAAAAACCCACACAGCGACATACGGATGATTTACTGCCTGAGTTTTAAGCTCCCTGGAGAAGGAGGTTGCGGGGTAGGTGCATGGGGAAATGTGGGGTTGAAGACTACATATCCCAAGTGCCACCGAGACAGCTTTCCCCTTTGTATCTATGGCCGGTGATCCCAATGCCTTGTGGGAGTTGTAGTTTATTTCTTTGCACAGGCCGAAGGACTTCAGAATGGGTGGAGTCTGTTGCTTCTGGCCAGATTTCAGCTCTTTTTCTGGGGGATTTTTATGGGACTTTATTCCAGTTTCAAAGTGCCTGCACCTCTTTCAATTTGGACTTAGGCGCAGGATACTTAAGGTGAAGATAATTTCGTGCTTTATAGTGCTACGTGTGAAACCACTGCCCTTCAAATCTAGTTGTAGGCCTCTTCATGGACTACAAATCCCAGCATGGCTTGCGGGATGTAGGGACTTGACTACATTTCCCAACGTGCTCCACGACCCTGGGAAAGACCAAGAGGAGGACAAGTCAGAAGCTTCTGCGGGTGCTCATTGTGGACCTCTCTCATGGTGTCCTTTTCCGATGTGATCTGGAAGTTATCATCATGGACTTTTGACTTTTCTTGCCATTGAGCCTTATATCTTGGAGTATTGTGGGGATCTGCTTAGGACTCGCTGAGCCTTTAGGGGCGTGGTCCTGCGAACTACATTTCCCAGCATGACCCTAGGCTGTTGGCCAACCTCCTTGAACTTTGTACCACAAACTCAATTTCCCAGCATGCCCTGGGGGCCACCCCCCACTCCGCCCCCAGACGCTAGGACAGTAAATGTGTTGAAAGATTTAGAGGTTGCGGACTCAATTTCCCATGGTGCCCTGCGTTTCCCACGACCTAGGGAATCTACTCATTCATTCATTCAGAAACATTTCCATCGCGTACTATGAGGCTCCGTTATAGACACTGGGAGCAAAGAGTGCACGCAGAGGACAAATTCGCTGTCCTCCTGCAGCTTATTTCTGGTTGAAGGGAGCAGACAGACCACATAATACATAAATTAGTTGGGGTGTAGAAAACTGATAAGGTGTATGGAAAAATTTGTTCTCTATCTTTTAGGACTCCCGCGCTGTAGAGTCCCTTTTCCTACCAGGTTTCGGCCCCCAGATACTATCAACTACATTTCCCAGCTTGCCCTGGGGTACACACCTCCGGGCTACAGACTCCATTGCCTAGAGTTCCCCGGCCCATCCCCTCAATTAGATTTCCATTTGACTCCTGAGAGCACCGGACTTTCCAGGGTGCCTTTGGCCAGATAGAGGCTGGAATATAGCCATTAGCAACGTCTACCTGATAGAGACTCTACTGCCCAGCGTTCCCTGCGGTTCTCTTTGGCCTGCGGACTGCATTTCCCAGAGAGCCCCGGGGTGGCGAGGTGACGCCAAGCGCTGGGCGGGGGCCGGCAGATCCTCTGGCGGGCGGTGGGAGGAGAGCGGCAGTTCCCGGCGGCCCCGGGGCGGGCGGCGGCGGCTGGGGCTCGGCGCTCGCTCGCTCGCTCCCTCGCTCACGGAGCGGGCGAGCGACGCGATGTCGGGCGAGGATGGCCCGGGGGCGGGCCCGGGGGCAGGGGCGGCGGCAGCCCGCGAGCGGCGGCGGGAGCAGCTGCGGCAGTGGGGGGCGCGGGCGGGCTCGGAACCGGGCCCCGGGGAGCGGCGCGTCCGCACCGTGCGTTTTGAGCGCGCTGCCGAGTTCCTGGCGGCCTGCGCGTGCGGCGACCTGGACGAGGCGCGTCTGATGCTACGCGCGGCGGACCCCAGCCCCGATGCCGAGCTCGACCCCTCCGCTCCGTCGCCCGCCCGCGCCGTGCTTGATTCCACCAACGCCGACGGAATCAGCGCCCTGCACCAGGTCAGCGCCCCCGCCCCTCCCCGGGCCTTGGTCACCTCGCTCTGCGCCACCGCCCTCCCTCCTCCAGGTCTGCACCGGCAATGCCAGACCTTGCTATCCTGGGTTGACTCCCTGTCTGAGCCCCTTTTTCCACCCCACGCACCTCGAGCTCCCCTCTCCAGCCCTGAGCCACTTGAACTGGCCCTGGCCTTTACCGTCGTTCGCCTCCCTCTCCGGGACCCCAACCGTCGCTGACGGCCTCAGTCCATTCTATCTCACTGGTCCTGGTCTTGTCACTTCGCGGTGTCCTCGCCCGACCCTGAGCGCCCTTTACGAGTGTCGCCTGTGCCACCCCCACTGGTGCCACCTCTCCTCTGCCATCAAATGCTGCCA